GGGTACTGGGCACAGCGGGGGTCCACAGGGCCCCCCTGGGCCCCCCAGATTCGCTGGAGGCCAGCGTGCTCGCCAGCCTCCAGCGGCAGCAGTTGGCGGAGGCGCGGGGCGAGTGGGGGGGCGGCAGCAGCGCCAGGGGCCCCCCGGTGGGGCACGAACGCGCCCTCATGAGCTTCGGCAGCGACAGCGAGAGGAGCCTGAGCAGCGACGACGCCGGGAGCTGCATCCTCACGGGTCCCGGCACCCCAGTGGTGTGACGACGCTGCACCTCAGCTAGAGCATCAGCACAGATAAAAGATTACAACAAGTAAACCGCAGCAATAGGATTAGCACTGCTACCTGCAGCAGGTACCAACACTTCCAAACTTCGTCGTTTGACTGGGGCAGTCCCATTCAATTCAAAGCAGCTGTCCGAGTGCCCCTCCTATCACCCCCGGCGCCAGACCGAAACATTTTTTAAACTCGGGATTTTGCCTTGATTTGAAATATTCCGGGCCTCGTGCTCGACTCAAGATACGAACGGCAGGTGACGCCGCCTGACACAGGTGCAAGCGGGACACACGAGCGGTGTTACACAGATAGGCCACTCACTGCGTGGGTGGGGCTCGTGGTTGAGTGGGTGGGGCTATGTAAAAGTGGGCGGAGCTGAGGGAGAAGGAGGCTGCCAGCTTACCATGCGACCCGAGCGAGTCTCCCAGAAGTTTTGTAGCTTCATCGTTAACACGGCTACAGCAGCGGCACTGGCACGGGATCGACATTTGGAGCTGCCCCCACCCGCTCCCTCCCCCAGTCGGTGAGGTGAGAGGGCAATCTGAGTGATGGTACGATTGCCAGGGCCCCCCACATTATTCCCCCTCTTTGACGCCTGCCCCCCCCCCCTCCTGCTACTTGTCCCCCCCCCCCAAACCCCAGGGCTCGCGGTATCAGCAGGAGATGCAGCTGCTGCTATCGCGACGGACGGGCGATGAGGAGGACCTGGCTCAGTCCTCCACGCGGTGCGCGCTGCCAGCCACAGACCTGGCCCTAGTACTAACACTGACCCATGACCCTAGCACTAACACTGACCCATGACCCTAGCACTAACACTGACCCATGACCCTAGCACTAACACTGACCCATGACCCTGACTATAATCATGATTTCTATACTGACCCATGCACAATCGTTGACGATACTGACTCTGGAACTCACAAAGATCCTCGCACTAACCTTCACCCTAGCATTAACATTGACCCTCATCATAACTGGTTGCAGCCATAATAAAGACATGAACACTGCCGCCAGTATTAACACTGACTCCAGCACCAACACTGCTGCTTGCACTAACAAAGCACCTGAAGCTAATTATAAACATAATTTCAAACTGAGTTCGATTCTCGGTCATGGCTAATATCAGTGGCGAATATCTGAACCAGTCCCGGCTCTCCACTAGGTTGACTTAGCCTTAAACGTGTAACTTATGTCACACGTGGCCGGGCGTGTTGTTAGGCACCCACCCCCTCGTGTACCGTGCAGGCCTTCATAGGTGCTCGCGAACAGGACTTACCCCAACGGTCTGCTAAGACTACACGGGGGATCTTTGTCTTTGTGCGTGAGTAGGGGGTACAGCCCCCCCATCATCCTGCCCAGTGAGAGGATGCAGCTCACTACCCGCGACAGCCTCCATAGCAGCCCAGGTGACACCCTCACCCGAGCGCTCACTCCACACAGCACTCACTCCACACAGCGCTTACTCCACACAGCACTCACCACTCCACACAGCACTCACCACTCCACACAGCACTCACCACTCCACACAGCACTCACCACTCCACACAGCATTCACCACTCCACACAGCACTCACCACTCCACACAGCGCTTACTCCACACAGCACTCACCACTCCACACAGCACTCACCACTCCACACAGCACTCACCACTCCACACAGCACTCACCACTCCACACAGCACTCACCACTCCACACAGCACTCACCACTCCACACAGCACTTCACCACTCCACACAGCATCTCACCACTCCACACAGCACTCACACCCCTCCACACAGCACTCACTCCACACAGCACTCACCACTCACTCCACACAGCACTCACCACTCCACACAGCATTCACCACTCCACACAGCACTCACCACTCCACACAGCACTCACCACTCCACACAGCACTCACCACTCCACACAGCACTCACCACTCCACACAGCACTCACCACTCCACACAGCACTCACCACTCCACACAGCACTCACCACTCCACACAGCATTCACCACTCCACACAGCACTCACCACTCCACACAGCACTCACCACTCCACACAGCACTCACCACTCCACACAGCACTCACCACTCCACACAGCACTCACCACTCCACACAGCACTCACCACTCCACACAGCACTCACCACTCCACACAGCACTCACTCCACACAGCACTCACCACTCCACACAGCACTCACCACTCCACACAGCACTCACCACTCCACACAGCACTCACCACTCCACACAGCACTCACCACTCCACACAGCACTCACCACTCCACACAGCACTCACCACTCCACACAGCACTCACCACTCCACACAGCACTCACCACTCCACACAGCACTCACCACTCCACACAGCACTCACCACTCCACACAGCACTCACCACTCCACACAGCACTCACCACTCCACACAGCACTCACCACTCCACACAGCACTCACCACTCCACACAGCACTCACCACTCCACACAGCACTCACCACTCCACACAGCACTCACCACTCCACACAGCACTCACCACTCCACACAGCACTCACCACTCCACACAGCACTCACCACTCCACACAGCACTCACCACTCCACACAGCACTCACCACTCCACACAGCACTCACCACTCCACACAGCACTCACCACTCCACACAGCACTCACCACTCCACACAGCACTCAACTCACCACTCCACACAGCACTCACCACTCCACACAGCACTCACCACTCCACACAGCACTCACTCCACACAGCACTCACCACTCCACACAGCACTCACCACTCCACACAGCACTCACCACTCCACACAGCACTCACCACTCCACACAGCACTCACCACTCCACACAGCATTCACCACTCCACACAGCACTCACCACTCCACACATCACTCACTCCACACAGCACTCACCACTCACCACTCCACACAGCACTCACCACTCCACACAGCACTCACCACTCCACACAGCACTCACCACTCCACACAGCACTCACCACTCCACACAGCACTCACCACTCCACACAGCACTCACCACTCCACACAGCACTCACCACTCCACACAGCACTCACCACTCCACACAGCACTCACCACTCCACACAGCACTCACCACTCCACACAGCACTCACCACTCCACACAGCACTCACCACTCCACACAGCACTCACCACTCCACACACACTCCCACACAGCCTCACCACTCCACACAGCGCTCACCACTCCACACAGCACTCACTCCACACAGCGCTCACCACTCAACACAGCACTCACCACTCCACACAGCACTCACCACTCCACACAGCACTCACCACTCCACACAGCACTCACCACTCCACACAGCACTCACTCCACACAGCACTCACCACTCCACACAGCACTCACTCCACACAGCACTCACCACTCCACACAGCACTCACTCCACACAGCACTCACCACTCCACACAGCACTCACTCCACACAGCACTCACCACTCCACACAGCACTCACTCCACACAGCACAGCATCCCACATAGCACTCACCACTCCGAGCACCGTACACCATACCGACCAACACAACCCACTCAGCACGCTGCTCATCACACAGCACTCATCACATCATACGCCTCTTCTCACACCTCTCATCACCGCTTACACGACTCGCCATTCACGACACCACAGCTCTCACCACGCTCACCGCGGTGCCGTTTGGCGTAGACGCCGCCCCCGCCGGTGAGGAGGACATGCTGGAGCTGCTGTACGACCCGTGCCTCGACTGCTACTTCGACCCCGTCAGCGGGAAGTACTACCAGCTCCGCGACTGACGGGCCCTGGCTGGCCTTCCACAGGGCCCAGCCTCCACAAAGATCATCTACAGGACCCACCCTCCACGGGGCTCACCCTCCACACAGGACCCACCCTCCACGGGGCCCACCTCACACGGCCTCCATCTGCTCCCCCAAGGGTCCCACACCCCTTGTGGTTTTCTCCGAGGTCCCCTTGGTCACTTTGTTCCCCTTTGCCGAGTGCGGCTCAGTGGCTGGAGCTGAGGGATGAGTGGCCATGGCCTCCGCCGATTCAAAATGAACGATGGCGATGACGACGATGACTATAGGATGAGAACGTCTGTTTGAATCGTCGCTCTGAGAGTTGCCGTGTCTCGGTCCCTCTTGGTTGCTCCCCTCTCTCACTGTGACGTGCGCTGTAAGGTTCGGGTTGCATAAATAAACCGCCACGGTGCTGGCCGTGATGATAATGGATCTCTGCATGTGAGTTCTGGCCTGTGTGGTGTGATAGCAGAGGTGTTCCCGGATGAGCCGCGGTTTCTGAATGGGGTCAACGTGTCGATTTTTTTGTGGTCGATTACTCGGGCCCATTTAGAAAGTGGCTGACCACTCTCACATCCTGCTTCCACGAAGGCTGGAAACCCCCTACAAGCCACGCCTGGTGTGACAAGGTTGATGATGTCGATCCCAAGCCCCGCCCTGCCTCCCATGTTCAGTGGCACCCGTGGAGACAAGAGGTAAAGACTGATTTCTTCTTCCCACAACTCTTTCCGTATTATCCAGTCGGTTGCGGAATGGAACCGATAACCGACAGAGGAATCGATTGCTCGAATGATCAGATATGGTTGCTAAGAAGCGACCTGCATTGAAACTTTTTGCAAAGTACAGAAAAATCGCCCGAGCCTACGACACCTTGTCTTCCCCAGCGGTCCTCCATCCAAGTACCAACCAGGCTCAACCCAGCTTGGCTTCTGAGTTCTGGAGCGATACATTCCGGGCCATGTGGTCGCAGACCAAAGGCAAAGCTCGCTTACCTCCTGCCTTGCCTGCCCCGATGAGCGCTCAGCTTTGGTCTTAACTGACATGAGCAATCCGAGTGAGTGCTCTGTAAGAGGCATCAGGACGATACAAATTCCATTTACTAATCAATCCTTTGCGGCAAAATTAATTTTTCCTCCGCCGCTTTTTGATCGGATTCAGGTTTTATGGAGACGGGCGGCACTAAGGGGCCGTGGTAATCCGAAGAGTTCAGCTCCGCACGGGGATCGTGGGGGGAGGGGGCCCTGGGCCCACGGTGCCCCGGAGCTAATCCTGCTGCCCCCTCCTGCACCAACCTGCGTCCTCCTGTTCCTGGCGACGTCTCTTCCACTCACCTCGCCCTCCTACCCCACTCACCTCGCCCTCCTACCCCACTCACCTCGCCCTCCTACCCCACTCACCTCGCCCTCCTACCCCACTCACCTCGCCCTCCTACCCCACTCACCTCGCCCTCCTACCCCACTCACCTCGCCCTCCTACCCCACTCTTCTCTGTGCCAGCTTCTCCACCTGCTCCATCCTCTTTCTGTTCCATCTTTTTCCTCCCTCCTGCTGCCTCTTCCTCCTGCCCCCCCCCCCCTCTTCCTCTAACGCAGTTCTCCCTTCTCGTTTACCTCTCTGACCGACTTCCCTCTCTCGTCTCCCTCCTCCCTCTTCTGTTCCCTCCTGCTCTCTCATCCAGATCCTTCTTCCCATTCCCTCCTCATAATCCATTATCCGCCCTGGCACCTCCCCCCTGTGCCCCCCATTTGTCACCGCTGGGAAACAGATGTAATCACCCGCCCCCCCCCCCGACTCACATCTATGCCGCCACGGTGAGCTCACCACTCACGGCTCACTCCGACCGCAGCGCAGAGCAACGTGGCGTGGACAGCAACACGCCCGGCACCTGTCAGCTCACCTGTCAGCTCACCTGGCGAGAGCACGACTGGTGAGACACACCGGGTGAGAGATACGCCGGGATAGACAATTGGTGAGACTCCCTTCCCGCCTCGTTATCTCAGTGTAGCTGTAGCGAGACACAGACGTCGTCAAAGATATCCCCTCTACTCTCGTCTGTCCTAACCCTCTCCTCTCTCCTAACCGTAGCCCACTCTCTCCTCTCCCTTAACCTTCTTCTGTGCCTGAGATGAAACCTCGGTTATGTTTGGTTGAGCTCTGGTTAGTTCGTCATGACAGCGGTTTCATTAATGCTGCACCGTGAAATACTTGATCCCCCTTCAACCTTGAGCTGGAATTCCTTTCCAGCTCAGCCCCCGCCTGCTTGCCCTTCGCCACATATATAGCGTCTTGTTGTAACAGCTCTCTCGCTGTGCTCTTCCTGGTTCAGCAGTTCCACTGCTGGATTATTTTTCGGCCCGAGGACGACCGCTTGTGTTGCGATCTAAACGTCGTGATATTTTTTTTTCTACCTACGTGACTTCACCGAAATAACCAAAGAGTATGGATTCCTGCAGTCACGAACGATTCAAATCAAGATTGATCCCCCCTTGAACCTTTAATTACATAAATTTCCGCATCTATTGACTCTGGCCACTTTTGCTAGGGCTACGGTTGAGCTAGGGCAGGGGTCAGCAACCTGTGGCTCCCAAGCCGCATGCGGCTCTTGAAGGACTGTTTTGTGACGTCATGTTTGTATGTATGCATTGCGGCTCTTCATTGCAAGAGCCCATCCAGAGACACGAAACTCGCGGCCTCCTCCTCCTCGTCCCCTTCCCAGTGAGGACCATGCAGGAGCAGAGCAGCAGCACGGCGGTGGCGGTGCCCGGCGCGGTGACGCCAGGCCCCACCATCTTCCCCCCCGCCGGCTACAGCTTCCTGGCGGCAATCATGTTCCTCGACGCCAGCCTCTCCATTGTCAACAATACGCTGGTGGGGCTGGCGCGATGATGAGGGGGAGGGTGCGGTGAGGGGTCGTGAGGGGTGGCGAGCAGGTAGTGAGCAGGTGGCGAGGGGGTGGTTGTGGTGATGGGGACCCAGTAAACATGCAACATTGGGCCAACGTTGGCATTTGGTTGGAACCGTTGGCCCAAAATTCCATGTTTACTGGGGAGGAGTTGATGGTGACCGTAAGGAGGTCGTGATGATGGTGAAGACGTGGTGATGATGGTGAACAGGCGGTGGTGATGATGTGGATGTCGCAGTGGTGATGCAGATGAGGTCATGGTGATGGTGGAGTGGTGAGGAAGATGAGGTCGTGGTGATGGTGAGGACGTGGTGATTGTGAGGACGTGGTGGCGTGGAGAGGTGTCAGTGATGGTGAACAGGCGACGGTGGAGGTGATGGTGAGTGAGGAGGTTGTGGCGACGGCGTTTTCAGGTGATCGTGATCACCTGCCGTTACCCGTCCCTGCGAAGCCCGCTGAACGCGCTCATCCTCAGCATGTGCGTGTCGGATCTGCTCATGTCTCTGTGCGGCACCACCATTGCCATGGTCTCCAACTTCCATGGCTCTCTGCGCCACATCGGCCACGCCGGCTGCGTCTTCCAGGGATTCTCGGTCAACTACTTCGGTGAGACCGGCTGGGGGGGGGGGGGGGCAGTGTAAGAGAAGACTGGGGTCACAGGGGGGTTCGGCAGAGAGGTGCAGGAGTCAATGCGATAGAAGTTCAACATACAGACATTACACACAAGGGGGATGAGGGCACCAGGAGGTTCTGTTCCAGACAGAAGCAGGAAGTGACCTTTTCCAGTCCTCTGCCCAATGCCAGGTCCTTGGCTCCACCTCCCTGCACCACCTTGCCTGCCCCATCTGGAGGTTTCCTCTTCGCCCTTCTCTCGTTCCGCCTCTCGTCCTCGTTCCTGACATCCCCGAGGCTTGCAGAACTTTCCGCATCGAGGTCCCAGCTCTGAGAAGAACGCGGCCAAACCACGTCGTTCGGCAACCACACTTCTCACGTCCTGAACCTGCTCCACGGCTTACTCGTTTCTATCTCTCTCCATCCAACTGGCAGTCTCCATTCGGGACCCACAACTCACGTGGATCGACTGCAGTCCAAGAGTCCAAAGTTTCTGAAATCATAACACGGGGGTTTCCCACCTTCACGAGGCTCGATGTGGTGGCGCCCAATATTTTTCAATGGTGCCGAGTGATCAGCTGCCCGTGGTGGACACCGCTGCTGGTGAATGCTAGCAGCATTCACCAGCGCAAGTTCTACCGAGCAACCCCCGTGGCTCCTGCGCTACTTCCCCGTGTCTCCCTCCCCCAGGCTGCGTGTCCCTCACTCTGCTCCCCGTGTCTCCCTCCCCCAGGCTGCGTGTCCCTCTGGTCCCTCACTCTGCTGGCCTACGAGCGGCGCCTGGTGGTGACCCACGGCTGCTCGATGAGGGGCGGGTGGCCCCGTGCCCGCCGAGGCCTGGCCTTCGTGTGGACCTTCTGCCTCGTGTGGGCCGTGGCGCCGCTGCTCGGATGGAGCGCCTACGGGCCAGAGGGCGTTCAGACGTCCTGCTCCATTGCCTGGGAGCGGCGCTCACTCAGCAACTACACGTACCTGGTGTGTGGGGGGGGGGGGAAGAGTGGGTGGGGGCAGCAAGGTGGGGTGCTTTGGGAAAGTAGAACATGGGGAAAGCACAGGTGGAGTAATGGGGAAGCAGTGGGGAAGCACAGGTGTAGTATTGGGGAAGTAGTAAAGTAGTACCCACCCGTGTGTATTCTCAGGTTTCGTACTTCCTGGCATGCTTCGTGATCCCGGTCTCCATCATCGTCTTCTCATACGGAAACGTGCTCTGCTCCTTGCACACGGTAATCCACCCCCCCCTCTTCCCAAGGACCCCAACACAGCCCTCCCCCTCACACACCTCCACTATGGATAACATCCAATGCGGCAACTGCCGAACGTGGAGGAGCTATAGTCGGGCGTGGTGGCGTCCTACGCCTGTGATCCGTCAACCCTTTTGAAAAACCTTCCCCCACTCCCCCCGCCAAATGTTATCCCGATTTGTGCTCGCGGTGTCGATATGGAGAGCCCATCGGGAGCTCTCGCAGAGCAGCGAGAGGCGCTGCGTCCCAGCGGCGCGTCCCAGCCTCCCGTGGTCCTTGGGCCACTGTGTGGGCCACGCCGCCTCCGTGAGCAGTGGCCCATGGAACTGTTCCAGAATTTGACCCGCTGAAGGTCTGCCACTGCTTCCCTGGTCCAGAGAGAACGCAAGTGGACATCACAGAGCTACGTCTCTCAAAAATCTCTGGTGCAAATGGTTGTGATAGTAAAACTCTCTCACCTGCCCTGCATATGGATATTTTTTTAGTAAAACTGAGTGCGGAATCAACTTTAATGTGCCGTCATTGTGTTTTTGTGCAGTCATTTATGACCGGGCTTGGGTCAGAGGGAGGTGACTCCCAGACCTTGCTCCCCCCCGCACCCTCCCCTCCCCTGTTTAAAGCCCCCACCCCCCTCTGCCGTGTCCGCGCCAGTTGAACAAGAAGATTAAGCGCGTGGGCGGCCACCCAGACCCGCGGGAGGAGATGCGTGCCGCGGTGATGGTGCTGGCCATGGTGGGCGCGTTCATGGCGTGCTGGTTGCCCTACACGGTGCTGGCGCTCTGCGTGGTGCTCTCACCCGGCACGCAGATTCCACCGCTGGTGGCAACGCTGCCCATGTACTTCGCCAAAACGAGCCCCATCTACAACCCCATCATCTACTTCTTCCTCAACCGCCAAGTGAGCTCTGCATCAAACCACACAAAGTAGTGCATTTTGTTCAGCCGGGCGGGAACTCAAGAGAAACCTGGGTAGTGCCTTTGGTATCGGAGCTGTTGCATCACGGAGGGTGCCATAAAGAACCAAGGTGACACCGTGTTTCACAGACACGGTTGGCAGTAGTTTCGCAGTTGGGGGGGGGGGGCAATGTTGTTTGTGTGTTCTCACAATTATAATATTACTGCAAATTTGGACCATTCTATTTTATTCCTGCGTATGGCAATATCCAATTCGTTACTAGTACACAACATTTACAAATCCACATTTACAATCCGAGTTCTCCAACACACCGTTACGCTGTACTAGTAACGAATTGGCACGTTCTGTTTAGCGACAAACTTTAATAATTGGCTGTGTCGGGTGGCGGCGGGTTTAACGACACATTTATATATTTACGCGATCTAACCCACAAAACCTCTATTATGGATATTGGTCGTGCGAGCCGACTACGTGTATGGCAACATGTTCAGCAGATTGTTGCCAACGTCGGGGTCTGCTGTCCACGACGAGAGGGCTTCAGGAGCGAGGGCTCGTGTCGTTTTGCGAACCCTCCCTGTGGGACGTTGTTAATTCGAATCGAGATGTTTTGACTGTGACGCTGGCATATGAGGCCTGCTCATTTTAAAACACCACGTGATCTTGAAAGTCCACTGTGAGCCAGACGGTTAACGTCCCCGCAGTATCGACGAGGGCGTTGCGGTGCCATCGGCCCCCAAGAGGCTCGTCGGTGTTAAACAATCACCAGACTAGCCAGGGTCGCCACTGCCCCTCAAGAGGCTCATCTGCCTTCAGGTGCAGTCACTCCCAAACCAGGGCTCCTACACCTCGACACCAGAGCTCCGTTTAGCCATCGCTCTCAGCAACACCAGCTCGCGATATCTGAACCTCCCCCCCACCATTTCACCCGCGGGGTGCTCACTGCGGTCGTCCCTTGGTCTCTGCGCAGTTCCGCGCCTGCGCCGTCGAGTTTGTGACGTGCGGCGCCGTGAAGCTCAACGAGCCCAAGGACGAAAGTGCCGCACCGCCGCCGCCTGCCGACACCGCTGAGCCGCCGGGCCCAACGCCCCCGCGGCACAACCAGGTCAGCCCGGCCTGAGGCTGGCGACCCCCGGGCGGCAACGGGTTAGAGATACAGTAGAGGAGTTAGACCTCCGAAGGATTTGGACCGCAGGGTCACAATGCTCTCCGATATGACGCCACACGTTCCACTCATTGAGGACCGAATAGGCCAGATTAGTGAACATCTGTAGAAAACCAGTTACACCCAGTGCATAAATACTACACTGGGCGTGGGCGGTGATCGCTCAGGGTAGATACTTGAAGGTCGGATATAAGACGTTGTACTGTATATGATTTAACCTCCCCTCCATCAAGTATGTCGTTACATTATACATCGCTTCTGACCCTGGGGTACAAATGCCACTAGTCAAAATACTCTCTCTGTCACCGGCGGCAGTAGCAGCAGCACTTTGACAGCCGTAGTAAGAGTGCAGTAGAGGCTGAGCACCATGCACACACGCATGCACATACAAACACACACACATACAAACACACACACACATACAAACACGCACACAGACAGGCGCCTTCATGTTCACGCACAGATTTATTAGTGAGCGGCAGCGAGGATGGTACCGATACGGCACGGGGAAAGTGGCGACTCCCTCCGGTGTGAGAGGAAGGGGCGACTCACAGCCCAGCCCCCTCGGCCAGCGTAGTCACCCAGGAGTTGGAGTCGCGCTTTATCTTCTCAAACTCTGGGGGACGGGGGCGGAAGTGGGGGGACGTCGTGAGTGGTCGTAGCACCAGGAGACAATAAACGCACCCCTGCAGACAGCGCTGTGCATCACTGCTGCGTGTGTTTCACGGATTGTGCGTCATTTAGAGTGTCGCCGCTGCATGTCACTTGCTTGTCTCTCGCGTGCCGACGAGTGCGTCAGTGCCGCGCGTGCCGCTGTCTTACCCGCGCTGTGCTCCGTGCGCTGAGCCCTCCGTGTGTCGTGCATGGCGTGGATCTCGCGGCACTCGGACAATATCCGCGCTTGCGCGTCAGCCGCCTGCTCCACCGCCATCAACACCATCAACACCATCAGCCACGGCACCAATATCAACATCATCACCACGAGTGCCACCATTAGCCACCGTTACGGCCGGCACCATTGGGAGCCCAAGCTGCAATAGACGATTGGTGCCAGCGCTCCTCCTCACCTGCGCCAGCGAGCCCAGGTGCGCGTGCAGCTCGTGCAGCAGGGGGCCCAGGCGGGAGGGCACTGGCGGGGGGCGAGCGGCCGCAGACCGGCGGCGCCGGCAGGCGGAGCTCGCCCTCGCTCAGCGAGCAGAACTCGGCGGCGAGACGCTGACAGTCGCGCAGGGCGAGGGACAAGGCCTGCAGGGTGGCCTCCTGTGTCGCCCCCTCCTGGACCCCAGGAGGCACGGTGTGCGATGGTGCAGCTTGCCTGGCCTTCACAAGGGAACAATGACAAAGATCCCCCGTTTAGCATTTACACAGACAGTGGGGCAAGCGTTGTTAGCGAGCGCCTATGAAGGCCGGCGCAGCGCACGAGGGTGGCTAGAACCCACCCTACCGCTTTTGTCTCCCTCGTCGCTTTATTTACACACCACACCGGGTACTCATTTGAGACCGAGTTGACCTAGGGGAGGCCCAGGACCGGTTTATATATTCTTCACCAATGTTGGTCTTCACCGATGTTGGAATCAGACTAGAGTCACTGTGTTTGTAGCACAGCGCGCTCACCACTAACGCGCAGCCACAGACACATGCACACATCTCTGTGCACCCACACGGCACCTGCAGCTGCTGCTGCAGCTGTCGTTGCAGCTGCGTCAGTGCCCGCGTCTCCTCCTCCCGCTCCTGCTGCAGGGCGTCTCTCCGCTGCTGCAGGTCCTGCAGCTGTTCCTCCTCTTCATCTTGCTGCTGCCTGCGGAAGAAGTTCACACACTACATTGAAGTCCACGTTGCATTTGCGATGACGCGGCCCAGCAGTAGCACGTTCGCCGCTTGTCGCAGAGGCCTACGGTTCGAATCCAGCGGCCGCGCTGGTTATTACTAAAAGTTGACGTTAAAGAGCCCGTGACGCCATTCACAAGAGTAGGCCGCTGTGTGCTGGCATCACGGTTAAAATTAGAAGAATCGCACCACAAATCACTCAATATGTTCCAACTATCGCCCCCGTACTGCGATAACTTGGCGGAACCCTCCTACAGATGAGTCATGAGTCAGTGGTGGCTGTTCTGGGTAAACAAGAGCAAGAATAATAACATTAATGTGGTATTGTACTATGCGAGACCGTGGTGGTGGTGAAGTCACTGCGACCTGTGCGACGCTCACTGCAGCGTGCCGAGTGTGGTGCCGCCACCGCCACCACGATGCTCCAGCAAGGGGGGCAGCCCCAGTGTCATCGAGCGCCCAGTCGCCAGCGCCCCCAGCAGCTGCCCGGTGCTCAGCTCCGCCGTGAACCAGCGTGACGCCAATACATGGCTCTGCAGGGCAGAGTCCTCGCCCGTGGCACTGCAACGACGTGGGGAGGAGAGCATGGAGAGGGGCAGGATGATTGAGGGAGGCGGAGGAAGACACGGAGATGAGGATGGCACGGGGAGGAGGAGGATGAGGGCATGGGGAGGAGAACGTGACAAGAAGGTTGACATGGGGAGGAGCAGGACATGGGCAGGACAGAGGGGGGGGGGGGGGGGTGAAAGAAGATACCAGGGAACACATCTTAATCAGACACAACACATTTAGGAGCGACAGGTACAGGGACAAGTGAATACACTAGTAGGGGAAAACATAGCAAGGGAATGCCACAAGGAGAGACACGGGAAGAGAGATACACAGGGAGACACGGATAGAGACACGGGGAGAGAGACACAAGGGAGACACGGATAGAGACACGGGGAGAGAGACACACAGGGAGACACGGATAGAGACACTGGGAGAGAGACACAGGGAGACACGGAGAGAGACACGGGAAGGAACACACCTCTCTGCGCGCTCCTTGCTGTGGATGAGCTGCAGCAGTCGCCTGTAGAGTTCCTGCTGCCAAGATACATCAGCTGTGCCCTGGAATTAGAGAGCACACACTTTACACAAATATCACCCGTATAGCCTTCACAGGCATTTAGGGCAAGTGCCGTTAACGAACATCTATGAAGGCCGGCACGACGCACGAGGGGGTGCTGATGTTTACACACAGCACCAGGTATTCATTAAGGCTGAGTTGACCTCGAGGCCCAGGACTGGTTCAGATATTCGTAACCGATGTGGGCCGTGAGTGGGGATCGAACGCGGGTCACTGGATTCATAGTACATTGCTCTATCCATACTGTGTGCGGTGTAGTGCGGTGTGTGTGTGTGGTGTAGTGTGGTGTGTGTAGTGTAGTGCAGTGTGTGTGTGGTGTGGTGTAGTGTGGTGTGTGTAGTGTAGTGCGGTGTGTGTGTGTGGTGTAGTGTGGTGTGTGTAGAGTAGTGCGGTGTGTGTGTGTGGTGTAGTGTGGTGTGTGTAGTGTAGTGCGGTGTGTGTGTGTGTGGTGTAGTGTGGTGTGTGTAGTGTAATGCGGTGTGCGCCGGATGGGTTCTCACCGAGACGCTCTCCACGTCGTCACCGGCACAAAGTCCCAAGAGCTCGCCGAACCCGGCCAGCTCTGAGACGCGGCAGAGCAAGCCGATGGTTACCACCAACAAAACAACACCGAGATCAGCAGCTAACATGGCCTCTGCTTGGCGAGGCCGTTGAGGCTGGGGAGGTAATGTTGGTAAGGATGGAGTAGTGAAAGTGGTGAGGGCTATAAAGATAATGGTGGAGTGGTGAGATGACGTAGTGAGTGATCAGCATGGTGAAATGGAGTGGTAAGGATGGGGTGATGAGGACGGGGTGGCAAGCACAGTATGGAGTGGTGAGGATGGAGTGATGAGGATGAGGTGGTGAAGGGAAGTTCGATGCCCTCAGGGCTCCACTCACGCCGGAGTCTGGGGTCAGAGGTCGGCGTGGAGGGGACAGCAATGGGCAGCAGATCAATCTTCTCCCGGAACTTTCTGTGAATCCTGGGTTTGGGGTCAGGAGTCACAAGTGCAGAAATCATGGGATCAGAGGTCAACGCCAACAAACTCGTCTACTCGGCCTCAGGCTTCACCTATAACCATAATCCTCACCATTCCATCCTCACCAACCCCAGCACTGACCAGCATGCTTAGCATGGCAGATGCGACATCGCCCCCTGAAGCCACGTGACTACTGGGTCAGTGGTGAGGATGGAGTGTGGAGTGGTGAGGATGGAGTGGTGAGGTGGGTGAGGATGGAGGAGTGAGGATGAAGTGAATGGCAGATACGACATCACCTCCTTAAGCCACATGATGTGGTCAGTGGTGAGGATGAAGTGGATGGAGTTATGAGGATGGTGTGAATGGAGTGGTGAAGATGGAGTGGTGAGGTGGGTGAGGATGGTGTGAATGGAGTGGTGAAGATGGAGGTGGTGAGGTGGGTGAGGATGGTGTGAATGGAGTGGTGAAGATGGAGTGGTGAGGTGGGTGAGGATGGTGTGAATGGAGTGGTGAGGATGGAGTGGTGAGGTGGGTGAGGATGGTGTGAATGGAGTGGTGAGGATGGAGTGGTGAGGTGGGTGAGGATGGTGTGAATGTAGTGGTGAAGATGGAGGTGGTGAGGTGGGTGAGGATGGTGTGAATGTAGTGGTGAGGATGGAGTGGTGAGGTGGGTGAGGATGGTGTGAATGGAGTGGTGAAGATGGAAGGTGGTGAGGTGGGTGAGGATGGTGTGAATGTAGTGGTGAAGATGGAGGTGGTGAGGTGGGTGAGGATGGTGTGAATGTAGTGGTGAGGATGGAGTGGTGAGGTGGGTGAGGATGGTGTGAATGGAGTGGTGAGGATGGAGTGGTGAGGTGGGTGAGGATGGTGTGAATGTAGTGGTGAAGATGGAGGTGGTGAGGTGGGTGAGGATGGTGTGAATGGAGTGGTGAAGATGGAGGTGGTGAGGTGGGTGAGGATGGTGTGAATGTAGTGGTGAAGATGGAGTGGTGAGGTGGGTGAGGATGGTGTGAATGTAGTGGTGAGGATGGAGGTGATGAGGATGGTAGCCTCACGGTTTCACCTGCAGAACAGGAACTGCAAGAGGCGGGTGCGGATTTCGCTGGGAGTGAAGAGCAGAGACTCGTCCCCATCCCAGCCCTGTAGCAGCGGGCAGTCAAGGGCCTGGGGGGCACGGGGAGACACACGGAGATGGAGACAAGGGCACATGGGAAAGACAGACACTGGGACATGGAGACACACACACGTGGAGACGGGGACCTGGGGACAGGGGCCTCTGAAATTAAATTTATCTGAATCTGGGTCACCGCTTCTGAACCTGGTAAACCTGGTAAGAATAAAAAAAATATCTTATATATTTTTAAGTGATTTGTTTATCTTTCCTATAATTTCATATACTCCTATCGTGTTTTGTATTGTTGTTGTAACGTTCTGACCAGCCCCTACTGGACATCTGTGAATAATAGCTTTATAGCTTCGACATCATGGGACCAATACTTGTGGTCAGAATGCAAACAAAAACATACTCTGATAATATATGGCATTGTCTTCGAAACTGATTGGTCCACACCAGAGACAACTTTCTTTTGAGCCTCGTCTCAAACGGTGTTAGCTGTCCCTTCACACTCACAACTGACTCCCCTGTCATTACCTCCCGTAGCCACCAGTCCAATCACACCGCATGCAGGCTCTATTGTCATATACATTTGTACGTGTTTGGGTGATTTCTTTACCTTGATTTGAAGCTTTCGTGACTGCAGGAATCAATACTCGTTGGTTCTTTCAATCGCAAACAAGAGACCGCCTCACCTGAAGACGGTCGCTTGCGTTGCGATCGAAACGTCGCGATCTATTATTATTCTAGCTACGTGACTTTAGCGAAAGAAGCAAAGAGTATGATTTGTCTACCTTTGTACTTGGCACGACTATCAAATTGCATTTTTGTTGTTGTAATGTTCTTACCCGCCCCTACTAGATAATTGATTCCTCCTCCTGCAGTCTAAATACAGATTCAGATTCTACTTCACAAACCTCTGCTGCCCCCCCCCCCCAATTCTGTTGTAGAAATTCACGGTTCGATTTCGGCGGCTGCCCCGGTTAATACTGCGGTGAATGACAGCGGACGTTAAACGATCCCCTGGGGCCACTCTCAAGAGAGTTGGGCCGTCGTGCGCAGAGTCGAGGTTTGCCAAACTCGCAAAATAAACCCGCAAGAATGATTCTAATGATTCTAATGGGGATGACGCAGCAGCAGCAGCGAGTGTCGCCCTCCCCGCCTCACGCCGACCCCTGCCGGGCTCAAGGTGACGCTCGCTAATGACTCCAAACCCACTCCTGTCAACCCCTTGTCAGTGCCCTACCTCGTTACAGACCAATTCAGACATTATTGGTCACACCGTGCCCTTATACATCTCAATGATCATCCTACAAAGTGCCATCGCAAGGGAGAAACACAAACAAATAGACACAAACATTGATGTTGTTGTTGCCCGCATGAAACGGCTGTACGCCGTATGGACCTGGAAACTCAACTCCCTGCACACGAATACGGGATAGTGAGCCGTGCGGGTGGACGCGGTGTGCCCACCCCGGGGCCTCCAGCGCGCTCCACCCGGGCAGACAAAACAACCCCGAGCCCTGCCCCCCCCCCCCTCTCTCGTGCCCCCCCTCTCCGTGCCCCCCCCCCTCTCTCGTGCCCCCCCTGCCCAACCCCCCCTCTCACCCCGTGCCCCCCCCCTCTCTGCCCCCCCCCCTCTCTCGTGCCCCCACCCTGTGCCCCCCACCCCGCCTCTCTCGTGCCCCCCCACCCCCCCCTCTCTCGTGCCCCCCACCCCCCCCCCTCTCTCGTGCCCCCCACCCCCCCTCTCTCGTGCCCCCACCCCCCCTCTCTCGTGCCCCCACCCCGTGCCCCCCACCCGCCTCTCTCGTGCCCCCCACCCCGCCTCTCTCGTGCCCCCCACCCCCCCTCTCTCGTGCCCCCCACCCCGTGCCCCCCACCCCGCCTCTCTCGTGCCCCCACCCCGCCTCTCTCGTGCCCCCCACCCCCCCTCTCTCGTGCCCCCCAACCCCCCCTCTCTCGTGCCCCCACCCTGTGCCCCCCACCCCGCCTCTCTCGTGCCCCCCACCCCCCCTCTCTCGTGCCCCCCACCCCCCCCTCTCTCGTGCCCCCCACCCCCCCTCTCTCGTGCCCCCACCCCCCCTCTCTCGTGCCCCCACCCCGTGCCCCCCACCCCGCCTCTCTCGTGCCCCCCACCCCGCCTCTCTCGTGCCCCCCACCCCCCCTCTCTCGTGCCCCCCACCCCCCCTCTCTCGTGCCCCCACCCCGTGCCCCCCACCCCGCCTCTCTCGTGCCCCCCACCCCGCCTCTCTCGTGCCCCCCACCCCCCCTCTCTCGTGCCCCCCACCCCCCCTCTCTCGTGCCCCCCACCCCCCCCTCTCTCGTGCCCCCCACCCCCCCTCTCTCGTGCCCCCACCCCGCCTCTCTCGTGCCCCCCACCCCGTACCTCGATCTCGTCTCGTATCGCGCCTCCCACCTCTCCCTCCATGGCGCCGCTGCCGCCGCTGCGAGCGGCGCGCGCGTCGCTCAAATAAACGCGGGAAACTCGCGGTGCGTGGAAGAGTCGACATGCAGAGCGGCTTTCCTCTTCCCCTCGCCTTCGTTGCCCTGCCAACGCGGACTGTTGTATTTCAACCTAAACCCCGCGGTACCGTGTCAGACAACCCCCACACTGGGTGGCTGCACTCCCCACTGCAGTTATTTTTTCCCTGTTGCAGCACGCGGTGCAGCGGTAACACATTTAGCGCGGTGCATGCTTGCGTCGGAGGCCAGCTACGCGGCGACGTCATTTTTCACAATTGAAATCTGGTGACGTAACCGCACGGGCGCCGTCATTCAACTGGGTGACGTCACCCAGTGGATGGCGTCACTACAGCAGGTGCTGTCAATAGACTCGATGACGTCACCACCTCTTGTCATCATCAGCCATGGTCACTCCACTGCTGGATGAGGGACTCGAGCCGTCAGCGTCCTTCACAAGCTGCCCAGCGACATCGCTCCATCTCCACAGCGGAGGAGGGCCCCTGGGGCCTCCCCTCACTTGACTGACAATTCGTCAGTTACGTGCTTTGGCAAAGGGCCATTGCCTGAAACGTTGCCTATGGTATATCTTTCCTATTTGAGGGAGCGTTATTGACGAACATCTTTAGTTTTATTCGTTTAACACGCCGACTTTCGCGACCAATATCCATAATAAAGGTTTTTTTGGGGGTAGATCGGGTAATTAATGTCGTTAAACCCGCCACAGCCATTGGGAAGGTTTGCCCGTAAACCAGACGTGCCGATTAGCTCAGCACACCGACGTGTTGGAGAGTAAACCCACACGTACAATTGGAGTTCGATGTTTCCCTGGCGATTACAACCAGCTTCATCAGGCGATTAGCCAGAATTGTGAAGAAGTCTTCCTATTTTGGTCTCAAGTAGAGTAGAGGTGATGTCATCACCGAGTTTTGTTGTGCTTGGGGACAGCTGCCTGAAGCTTCTGCAAAACAATATCGTGACTTTGCTCCGGGTCAACATTTCCTGGCTAATGTTTGACTCACGATATGAACAAAAAGGGTACAGAGCTACCCGAGCCCAGCAGCACCGTCTGAGAACTTTTATTTCAACTCAACTCCACAATGGGCGCGCTGTGAAACACACGACGAGGTGGTCGCCCTCTTTCCCGAGCGTGGCGCGCACAAACAAACCGAGGCCGCGCTCCCTCCCACTCGACCGGTCGCATCGCAGGGACAGCGCTGGTCGACGCTGTGACGCAATCGTACCCCACACCGCGCCAGTCGCCAACGAGGTCACCGTGAACGTCGTCAGTAAGCACGGTGACTTCGGGCTTCAAATCCTGAAAGTGAATCTGATCACGTCACCGCTACAGGTGATGCCGCTCAATCCCATGACATTGCTTCGACGGTAAACCCCAAACGATAAGTCCATGACGTGACCGATCACAACGTTGTCACTTAACTCAATGACATCATCGCGACAGGTGCCGGCAATCGGATCAATGCCACAGCTCTACGTGCTCCTCGTACACGCGATGACTTCGCCACTTTACGCATCGTCAAATGCTACGTCGCAGCATTAAGAGCTGGCAATTAACCAAAATACATCATTGCCGAACGTTTCCTTGTAAGCGTAAACAGAAAGACGCCGACACTTCACGCGTTCAGGTTGGCGCAATAACATCGCTGCTTAACGAGCCATCGGTCCACTCGCTACGGCGCCGCTGCCTCCCGCTTTGGAGCTATTTTATGACCTGTGACCCAGGTGACATCGATGCAAGGCAGGGGGGGGGGCGTGACGCTCGTGGCTCCAGGAGGTCATGTGACCTCCATGTCGTCCACGTGGCTGTGCTGCTCGCTGGCCGCGTGAGGATTGAAGCAAAGTCCTTCCAGGGCGGCCTCTGGGGGTCGACGAGAGATGGGGTCACGCACAAGACTAGAGCCGCGATATCTGTTCGGTAATCAACCACTACCAATTATCAGCTCCATTACTCGATTAGTTGCAGAACACAAAAATTACTGTTTTCACAGTTGCCACTGGACAGGTGGTGATGGTTGGGTATAATGAACGCCATTGGCATCACCTGCTGCATCACGCTAGGAGTGATTTGTAGGGCGTTTCCCGCCTTCGGAGAGTAAAATATGGAGGCAACCGACCTTATTAAAGGGCCCCAAGTGATCGACCACAAAACAAATAATAACGTAGTCGTTTGATCGATTTAATTTGGTAATCAGCTGAGGTAGAGTGATGATTTACCGGAAGGACAAAGTTTTTATCCTAAAGTCATAACAGACTTTGGGAAATTCCTCCCTGACCCCTGACCTGTGCAAGACCTCACCATCAGCAGGCCCGTAGTCGGGCAGCAGACTCTGCAGGAGGAGGCCGCTCCGCAGGCCGCGGGTGGCCTCCACGAATGGGTGAGCCGCGTCTTGCAGGAGGCTCCAGAACCGCCCGTCATCAGGGCCGGCCGACAGCGCGCAGAGCCCCCACACGAGCTCGCGCATCACCCGGCCTGTCCGGCGCTCCTTGCAACCGGGCATCGGCGCTACCCAGCGAGTCGCACCGTCCACGTAGCACGTGGGCTCCCGCACCGAGAGCCAGGCGCGGTGCAGCGAAAGCGCCAGCGCCTTCGCCACCTGCACCACCGCCACCACAAAACACCACCGCGACGGCACGCGGAGGATCACGGCGCCATATCTTGCGGGGCAGCGCGGCACGGGCGTGCCCTGCGGCATCACGCTCGTGAGCCGTGCGTGCGCCGGCAACGTATCTGCGTTTGCGTGAAGTCGTGTTTGTACTTGTGACGAGTTGTGTTTGTGCTGCGTGACGTTTGCGCCGAGTCGCACTACTGCTGTCACCTTGTGCGAGCAGGAGCAGGGGGAGGCGAGGAGCTGCGGCACCAGCCCCGCCTCTGCCATGGCACCCACCACCCGTGCCAGCTGTACCCATGTGCACAGCCATGTACACACACACAAAGATATATATACAAGACAAAGACCCTCCGTAACAGATTTTTATGGTAAGTGCTGTTAGCGAGCATTTATGAAGGCCAGCACGGTACACGCCTAGCTGCCAGTGGCAATGTTTACACTTTGCACCAGGTACTCATTTGCGGCTGAATCGATCTTGGTCAAGCCCAGAGCTAGTTCAGATAATTACCACTGATGTTGGTGGCCGTGGGCGGGAATTGAACTCGGATTGCTGGGTTCATAGCACAGCATGCTAACTACTGCACTACCGCTATGCATGCACACACAACAATGTAGGTGCACACACTGAGGCACATTCCAATAAAAAACACCATTCTTAAGCACCAGGGTTCTTGTGCCAGGCTAGAAGCACTTTCAGGCTGTCACGTAAAGTGTGGAATGTTCACTGGCAGGTGATCACAGAATAGACCCAGGTGTTATGAGTTAATGCGTATAAATGCCCGACAGATGCACCACCTGCACTCCCCACTGTGCCGACTCTCTTGGTTTTTGCTGCCCAGTGCTCTGCTTATTATGGTATGCGTCGTTCCTCTGCAGCTGCCGCCAACTGCTCGACAAAATCTTTCATGCACCCTTTCTGTTGGTACTTGTCATAAAATAGTGCATTCATCTCCCAATCCCCCTGTTATCGTACTAGCTCTGCTCTTTACAGCAAGTGCCACACTTGGGCATACTGTGATTGATCATGTGGGCTCCATGACCCCGCCAACTCAACTTTGTCTACCAGAGCCCAGTGATAGAACAATGTCTAGATCATTAAAGGCACGATGAGCACCTCGCACAATCCAGTCTGGTTAAACCCAAGATGGATTGAAGGGAGATAATTTTCCAACTGGTGTAGGCGTTCTTGTCAAGGGGCGTATTTTGCTGATTCATAAAGCAGAGAGGGGATGAATGTGGCTTAGGAGACCCAGAGCTCCGTGTGGAGCAACAGGCCAGCCAGGCAGATTCCAGACAGCGTGATGTAACCAATGAAAAGATAATGCTAGACGAACGATTCAAAGTTCTCTGCTGCCAAACCACACGCACACACAGGCATCCAAGTATGCACACATGCATATACATGCAAGCACATGCACACTCGGGAACACACACACGCACACTCACAAACGCACCCACACAGATGGAGCCACAAAGACGGCACGTACATGCAAGCACAACAAAGAAGCAGATTCCCCTATTGCTTTGACAGGCTTTTGGGGCGGTACTATTAGTGTGCACCTATGGAGGCCAACACAGCACATGAGGAAATGGTATGTCTAGTACCACGCTTGGCCACCTTTGTCTCCCCAGGACTGGTTCAAATATTCGTCACCGATGTCGATCGTGCCCTGGCATCGAATTCGCGTTGCCGGGTTGGCAGCACAGTGTGCTAACCACCTCGTGTAAGCAACAACAACAGCTACCATTCGCACCTAATTGGCAGTGACATCACCACAGCGCTTGTTCTAGGCTAAGTACACTTTGAGGCCACGCGAGGTGTCGAAGGCTTGGTGCCAGGAGGTCACGGGGATAGATCCAGGTGTTATGGGTTGACTGAGACGACTGGCAGAACTGCACGTAGGCGCGCACACACAGCACTGAAGACGTGAGCCCTCTCTGCATGTGTGTGCGTGCCCACAGGGTGGCGCCGGCTGCCTCACCTGTAGCTGGAGATGGAGCCAGGCGTCGGGGTGAGGCTCGGAGCCCCGGGGACCCCGATCACACACGTACGTGCACACGTGCAGCAGCGTGCAGTGGTCTTCGGAATTGCACACGCATGCGCGCGCACATACATGCGCACAAACAAGCATAAATGCACGGATGCACCCTCACGCGCGAACGTGCATGTGCACACAAGTACACAATAACAAAAATACCCCTGTAAAGCCTTGAACAGACTGTTGGGGCAAGTGCTGTTGGCGAGCACCTATGAAGGCCAGCACAGCACACGACGGGGTGGGTGGCAAACACCGTGGCTAGCCGCCTTTGTCTCCTCAGTGCTGATGTTTACACACTGCACCAGATACTGATTTGAGGCTGAATCGACCTCGATGAGGCCCAGGAGTGGTTAGAAATATTTGCCGTTATATGTCGTGAGTAGGAATCGAAATCGGGTTGCAGGGAATCGTAATGCAATGTGCTAACCACTACACTACCGCTTCCCAATCTGCAATACACACAACGCACACAAATTCACACACTCGTACACCTCACACACTCTGCAGGGTAGGGAGAGAACATACAAACTGCAACACGGAAAGGCGCCCAAGTCGGGAATGGAACCCAGGCCATCTTTGCTGCGCTACACAAGCGTTACCACTTTCAGGCCACTGCATACACCAGGAGGGTGAATGTCATTTTCTATCGCCTCCACGTCGCCGCTTCACTGACATCACGGCCCACACCTCCACAAAGACAGACACCTGGTGCACCTAACCGTGGCCCTGTGACCCAACGACTCCAGCGAGCTCTCACCTGACCCGCAGCCAAGAAGGGAGAGGGCGCGGGGCTGGCAGCACACCGCGGTGAGGATGCGTGTGACCTGCAGCACCGTGCTGGGAGGAGTCTTCACCGTGACGCAGCGCGCCAGCCGCCCGCTCCCCTCCAGCGCCAGCAGCAGGCTGCACCATCACACGGCAACATTAGCATGACGGCATCATCGCAGTCACATCACCATGCAGCTAAACATTATGATGATATGGCCATCATCTTGGCAACATCACAGAAACATTACCAGCGTCATGGCAACATCATAATCATGGCAATATCAGCCTATCCCGGCAATTCCCTCATGGCATTACTCCCTTCAAAGAATGATCACCGTCACAGTAGACCTGTGATCAGTTATAACTGCAAGTTCCAGCAGCACTGTTACAATTTCAATTATGTTTCTCTTGAAATTATTTACAAACTGCACATTTAGAGTAATTGACTGAAGACTTTATTTCAGCTGGCAAGGGCCATTGGAACTCCATATCAGACCCCAGGTCTGCCTGACAGCAGCACTGCCATCACAGCAACATGTCATCGTTCCCATCACAGCACCATCTGCATCACAGCCCTGGCACCATCTCCTCATTATTAGGAAAGTGGGTTGTTCGCGGTTGTGGTTCAAGGAAAGTGCGTGCGGTTAGGACCCTGTGGCGTCACCTCTCCGTGAGGTTGCCGTGGCGATTCTCTGCCAGCTGAGCCAGCACCCGCAGGACGGTGCAGACGATCGCCTCCCGCTGCCCTCGCCCGGGGCCCCCCAGCAGCCCCGCCCCCCCTCCCCTGCTCCGCACAGCCCCCGTTCGCTCCAAGCCATCGCCACACGGCTTCAGCACCTGCACCAGCCTCTTCAGCAGGGGGTGAGGTGCGCCTGGCTCCCCCACGATGTTTCCCAAGGCCCCCTTCCCCAGAACCGTCTCGGGTTCCTGAGGCAACGACGACAACTCCTTGGCGATGGGGGCGGGCGCGCCGGCGAGGAGGGCAAGGAGCGTCTTCAGCGCCGCCTCCGCCTCCTCCTCCAGCACCAACGCGTCCACCGCCGCAGCCGCTGCTGCCTCGGCGTCCGTTTCCATAGCAACCACGGCCGGCTCCTCGCCAGGCCTGGAGCGGGAGGTGATTCGGGCCAAGGCGGCATCGGCGTAGCGGCCCAGCCGCAGCTCGATGAGCGGCAGGAAGTGCGACAATGTTTCGGCCTCACGACCCACGATGCCCCACTCCAACAGGTCTCCCTCAATGCGACGCGGGCCGGTCGGTCCTGAGGTCCGAGATCTGCTGAGTGGACTGAGAGGGCCGGTGGGGTGCAGTAGCCGGGACAGGCCGTTCAGGGAGAGCACCATAGCGGAGCGGACATCGCCAGGGTTGTCATGACCAGCGGCATCGGCAGAGACCGCACCTCCTCCTCTCCTGGCGTAAAAAGGGTGGTGGTGAGAGGTTACACAAGCTATGTCGTGTACGTGCATTTATGTCTGCGTGTTTAAATGAAAACGTTAATTTGTATGCATGTGTGAGTGTGCGCCTGCATGTAAATGTCTGTGTGGGTGTATGCCTGGCCTACCACAAGTGCCGTGGTGACATCACCGCCACTTAGTAGCAAATGGCAGCTGTTGTTACGTATGTGTATGCATACACATACACGCACACATGTGGGGAGCGGTAGTGTAGCGGTTTTCGCATTGTGCTACGGATCCGACAACCTGAGTTCGATTTCCAATTATGTTGCGATGTATAAACGTCAACACTCGGGAGACAAAGGCGGCCGGGCATGGTGCTGGCCACCCATCCCCTTGTGTACCGTGCCGGCCTTCATAGGCATTCGCTAACAGCACTTGCCCCAACAGTCTGTTAAGGCAATTAGGCGGCTCTCTTTGTCTTTGTCTCACCGAGCAGCCGAGCTCACAGGGAGATGGGCACACACACCAGGCACGCGGAGAAGCTTATCCACCAGCAGCGCACCTGCACAAACAAATACAAGCAGGGTTCCAGCCAGACCTGGGGTCAATAATAATTACAATTATAGCTGCAATGTCAACTGAAACTACAATAACATTGTTGGTACAAGTCATTATGAATGGCGGCACTGCATCCCGATACCGTGTTTCGTTCCGGCAGTATTAAAACACCGTATTCCGGCACTACGTACCATTCTGTAATTGTGTTTTTAGCGCTACATTTCAGCACTGGGTCATCGTAGTCTGTTACCGTACTGTTCCAGGACTGTGTATTTTTATGGTACTCTGTTCTGCTGTAGCAATGTTCCATTTGTGTTCTGTTCCGACACTGTTAAATGTGGCACGTGGAATGCGGTCAGATGACGAAGGCTCACCCTGGCTCCATTGGCGCTTGATCACCCACGTGCCGCGCCCATCCTCCGAAGCCTGCGATTTCCCACAATCCTTGATCTGCTTCTTCTCTGCACACACAGATAAAAATTCAAGATTCCCCCATATATCCTGAACAGACTGTTGAAGAAAGTGCTCTTAGTGAGCACCTGTGAAGGCCAGAACAGCTCACGAGAGGGTGGTGTGGCTGAGCACCATGCCCGGCCGCCTTTGTCTCTCGAGTGGTAATCTTTACGCATCACACTAGGTACTCATTCAAGGTTGAGCTGTTTTAGGGGAGGCCAAGGACTAGTTCATATTTTTGTCACTGATGTTGGCTGCAGGTGGGAATTGAACTTCGGCCGCTGGATCAGGAGCACACACGCACATGCAAGCTCCATGGCCGTGAGTGGCACTGCTTGCAAAACAGGACAGATTGTGTTTAAAACCAGCGGAGATTGTGCTGGTGATGGTGACTGGCGACAGCAGCGTAAAGAAGGGATCACACGGGGGGTGGGGGTGTGGTGTACACAGTCAGCGGAGGAGAGCATATAGGGAGACAAACCTTCTGCTGCATCCGCCCGAGTGCCACGGCCAAGTGAGGAGTCTGCACACGGCGACGATGTGCCCACTCGTGGACTAAAGAAAAACAGAAATACACAGCGCACAGACTCAGCGATATTAGTGTAAAACACACACACGGTAGAGGCATGCTCAAGCAACACAACAACACACAGCACATATACACACTGCAGAAACATAACAATACAGTAGACAGCCACAAAAAGCAACAACAGGAAACAGTTGAGTCTCACACCAAGCAACGACAGCAGTACACACTCTCTGTACAGCAAGGCCGTAATCTCCATATGTGTCTGTTCAAAATGTTTAGCGTACTTCCCGACATGCCATGTGGGGGGGGGGGGTGCTCAATAATGCATATATTTTTTTTTGCACGGCAAATGAGCTGTGAAGTCAAATCTGTCATGTGACCCGCGCATGTGGAAGCGTAACGCATTGTAGTGTAGTGGTTAGCGCGCTGCGCTACGAACCCGGCGACCCGAGTTCGATTCCCGCTCACGGCCACCACCGGTGACGATTATTTTAACCGCTCCTGGGCCTCCCCTAGGTCGACTCAGCCTCAAACGAGTAACTGGTGTGGTGTGTGAATATCACCATTGGGGAGATAGGCGGCCGGGCGTCGTGAATCCAAGTCCTGGGCGAAGCCGGGTAGTCAAGCTAGTTATACATTTTATTGGGGGGGACACATCCCCCCCAATATTCAAATATGCTCAAAATGTCCCCCCCAATATATTGCTCTAAAAAATATTTTAAAAAATAATTGCGATGCTATGTAAATAAAAATAACAATTTGCTAAACCTTGGCCACAATATCTGGACTTGTCTTCATATGACAATGCATAGACTTCTGTTGATTGTGGTTATGGTTGTACTTTATGAATCCCTAATCTCCGCCATTACATACAATGAAACAAGAAAAGGTAAAAAAAGAACAGAGCAATGTAATACAAAACACTATTAGACATTATTGTAAAAAAATAAGAAAAAGTCCATCCCATGTGTTAGTGAATTTTTTAATATTTTAGGCAGGAAATTCGTTTTCAAATGTACATTTTTTTTTCTGGGGGGGGGACCCCAGACCCCCTGGAAGATTTGGTCCCCCCAATGCTAACTCCATGGCTACGTCCTTGCTGTACAGCAAGAAAACAAGGCACCAGAGTTGGGTGTCAAATATAATTACAATCACGGTTCTGGAGAGGACCAGGTGTCAGGCTGTAGAGGAAGGGGACTTATTTTAATTCCTTGCACAAGTGCTCATTCCAACCGCACGTTACCACCGACTAGAACAATACAACACACACATCAAAACCTATCTCACACGCAAGCACGGACGCACACAAACAGTCCCACATGCCTCGCGACGCCGCTTACCTGCCAGCGGTGAGGCCAGAGCCACCCCAGGGGGAACGCGGGCTCCGTGTGCCCCGCTCCAGCACGTACAGGCGGTTCTGCAGCGACTTCGTCTCGGCGTCTTTGAACTGCAACTGAGACTTCAAGCCCTCCACCTACACAGACAACATCGCCGTGGCATGGAAACGTCTGTGATTAGGGCTCTTGCGTGAGGTCAGCATAAGGGCTATGAACAAGTTAATGGTGGGAGCAGAGGTACAGCTGGTGTTAGCCTTCGGGTTAATGTAAGGGGCAGAGTTAGTGACAATTTTTAAGAGTCAGGGTTATTCTAAGTGGCACAATTTTAGTATCAAGGTCAGCGTTAGTGTCAGTGTAAGTGTCGGTGTCAGCTCGTGTCAAGTGTGGGGTGTATGTTAGTATCAGCACGTGGGTTCCCGCTGCGGCAGTGTCTGCATCTGTTCCGTCGTCCTTGTGTCATCACCATAGCTCACCTGCTTGCGGAGGTGGAGGTCCCGCTCACGCTGCTCCCGCTCACACTGGCCCGTGGCGAGGGTGGCGTCCCTTTCGAGTCTCTGTCGCTCGACGCGTTGCTCTTCCTGGGCGGCCTGCACCGCTTGCAGGGACTCGCGGAGTATCCGTACCTCTCCCTCGCGCATGTACAACTCCTCCTGCAGTCGTGCGCACTGCCGCATGCACGCAATCAACGGGGAGTGCAAGGCCAGTGTTAATTTAGTCAGCATTTTCTATTTTACTTTTTTAGTTTTCACAATGCTCTATAGCTTTCTTGTGTGTGTATATATATTTCTCCCAGATGTGTTTTAAATTGTTCAGTTTTCAGAGAAGCGACCGGCACGTAATAATATTTTGTTTTATATTGTGTCGATCATGCAAATTGCATCTCACAATCACTGAGGAACTACAGATAAGCTGGAAGGCAGCCAGTCGATAAGCCAACGCCAATAATTGCCCAAGCTATTAAGTTCTATATATATTAAGATGTTTTGAGCCAATTCATTATTATACGTGGAGCTTAACGATTACGCCAAACAACACGTGGTACAACCCGAAAAGACACGAGCCATTTTTTGTCATAGTCTCGTCGACCACAACCTGTGGAACATTAGTCAAGATTTCGGTCAATAAGGGTGGATTCAATTAGTCTCGCCGACTAAAGCGGTTAATGTTTATGGTGTTTCCCCAAGGCGGGGGGAGACATTGATATAACAGTATTTGTACCCTGGAGTTAAAATTAACAATTGTAAGGAGGCCAATATACAGAACGAGCTCACACCAATTGAAACCTGCCCCCGGGGCGACCGCGTCTCTCACCTTGTCCCTCCACGACCGTCCCTCCTGTCTCAGAGCCTCCACCTCCACGGGCCCTTGACCTTCCGAGGGGGCATCGGCCGCGGCCACCACCGCCGCCGCGGGCCGTGGCGGCCCAGGGACCGGCAGGGCCCAGGGCCCAGGACCCTGCGAGCCGCGTGTTGGCCCAGCGACGACCGGGCTCCGCAGCCGAGGGAAGGTCGCCGCGACCCGCGGTGGCTCTGGCTGCTGACTTGGCGCCTGCGAGTCCAGCAGATTCAGCTGCTCGAAGTCGGAGTCGGACAAGTTCAAGTCGTCCGGGAAGGGGTCGGTGGCCGTGGGGCCGCACGGCCGCTTGACGGGAGGGGGGCCCCCCTCCCGCGACGCGGGGGGCTCGCCGCCCCGAACCCTCGCAAAAGTCCCCCTCATGGCGCCAGGAGACGGGGTCCCCTCGGGGGGGGGGGGGTCCCCGCGAGGTCTCCGGTGAGGGAGCCTGAGCCCTGAGCCGGGTCCCAGCTCACAGGCGTCGGGTCACTTGTGACCTGTCGCACACGAGTACAGCGCGAACTGCATTGAGCGACAGTTCGCGTCGGTGTCGCCTCAGGCCGACGGTGTCCACTTGAGGCCGCCTCGAGTCGAGCGAGGCCGCCCCTGCCGACAGGGGGGGGCAGGGGGGGCTGGTGACGGGGGGGGGGGCTGGTGACGAGGGGGGGGCTGGTGACGGGGGGGGGCTGGTGACGGGGGGGGGGCTGGTGACGGGGGGGGGGCTGGTGACGGGGGGGGGGGCTGGTGACGGGGGGGGGGCTGGTGACGGGGGGGGTGACGGGGGGGGGGTGACGGGGGGGGGGCTGGTGACGGGGGGGGGTGACGGGGGGGGGGCTGGTGACGGGGGGACTGGTGACGGGGGGGGGGCTGGTGACGGGGGGGGGGGCTGGTGACGGGGGGGGTGACGGGGGGGGGGTGATGGGGGGGGGGCTGGTGACGGGGGGGGGGGTGACGGGGGGGGGGCTGGTGACGGGGGGGCTGGTGACGGGGGGGGGGCTGGTGACGGGGGGGGGGGGGGCTGGTGACGGGGGGGGGGCTGGTGACGGGGGGGCTGGTGACGGGGGGGGGGGGGCTGGTGACGGGGGGGGGCTGGTGACGGGGGGGGGGTGACGGGGGGGGGGCTGGTGACGGGGGGGGCATCTACCTGGTTGAGAGCGAGCAGGGGGTGAACTTCGCTCCTCCACCGGCCGCTCCACTCGCCCCACAACTCACCGCTCACCCCTCACTAACTCCACCACTCACCCCTCACTAACTCCACCACTCACTCGCCCCACCGCTCACCCCTCACGTACCCCTACACTCACTCACCCCTCACGCACCCCTACACTCACCCCTCACTCCTCACGCACCCCTACACTCACTCACCCCTCACGCACCCCTACACTCACCCCACCGCTCACCCTTCACTCCTCACTCACCCCTACACTCACTCACCCCTCACTCTCTCCACCACTCACCCCTCACTCTCTCCACCACTCACCCCTACACTCACCCCTCACTCCTCACTCACCATTCAAACCCAGCAGGCCGCGGCTCGCCTGCGATTGGCGGCGGGCTGGTCACGTGGTCTGAGGAGACGCGCCTCATTGGACAGAAAACTCAGCAAAACATGGAAACCAAAGAAACTTCAGCGCGCACTCAAACAACTCCAAATCTGACCTCCACAACGAATCAGAAACTTGCGCTTTTGTGTTCTAAACCCCAAGGGGTTTAACTGCGCCGTGTGTGCCTGACAAACAACACAAACACAAGAAACAGCAGTAACAAGAGTAATTCAATAAACTGGTTAAATTAAAGACTATAGCTTTCAAAGTTAATATTGACGTTTTGGGTTCGGCTACTTCATGGTCTGACCAATATCTGAAAATCATCAGCGTCGTTGTGGAGAATAAAAATGGCATAAACAAGCAGACTATCGCTTCCTCCATATATGTTATTATGTGTCTTCGCTAACACAAACAAACATATTTGTACACAACCCATGCAGCATTGATTCAGGACCAGCAAACCTTTGGACCGGTTTCAATCTGTTGTGTTTTTTTAATGACCCTCCACCACCTGACACGGCCAAACATGAAAATGTCACGTGGTCTAATTTGTTTTAGCTCACACCTGCTAATTTGAAGGACAATTCTCATACCTTTACAGTGCCCTACCTTATTACTGACCAATTCAGACCTTATTGGTTACCCCGTGCCCTTATACATCTGAACGTTCATCCAACAAAGTCCCATCACAAGGGAGAAACACAAACAAATAGACACAAACATTGTTGATCGTATTGAAACGGCTGTACACCGTATGGATCTTAAAACTAAATTTCCCTGTACAAGAATACGGGGTAAACCGTGTGGGTTGACAGCTATAAATTCTCAGTCTGACGATTAAAATAATCATGAAGAAACCACATAGACCCAAACAACTCATGAAATTACAATTTCAAGCCTGTCCATAAACCAAGAAAGTCATTAATCAGGTGGCTGCGTGGCCGAGCCATCACATTGAGAATCTGAGTTGGAATCCGGGGTTCGGCTGCCTGTGATTAGACCAGGATCTCAAGTGTCGTGAGTTCATAGTCTCAGCCTGGTCTCCATTGACTTGCATAGACTCACAGAGAGACCCACACACTTGTATAGACTCACAGAGAGACCCACAGACTTGTATAGACTCACAGACTCACAGGGAGACCCACACACTTGTATAGACTCACAGAGAGACCCACACACGTGCATAGACTCACAGAGAGACCCACACACTTGTATAGACTCACAGACTCACAGAGAGACCCACACACTTGCATAGACTCACAGAGAGACCCACACACTTGCATAGACTCACAGAGAGACCCACACACTTGTATAGACTCACAGAGAGACCCACACACTTGCATAGACCCACAGAGAGACCCACACACTTGCAAAGACTCACAGAGAGACCCACGCACTTGCATAGACCCACAGAGAGACCCACACACTTGCATAGACTCACAGAGAGACCCACACACTTGTATAGACTCACAGAGAGACCCACACACTTGCATAGACCCACAGAGAGACCCACACACTTGCATAGACTCACAGAGAGACCCACACACTTGCATAGACTCACAGAGAGACCCACACACTTGCATAGACTCACAGAGAGACCCACACACTTGTATAGACTCACAGAGAGACCCACACACTTGCATAGACTCACAGAGAGACCCACACACTTGCATAGACTCACAGAGAGACCCACACACTTGTATAGACTCACAGAGAGACACACACTTGCATAGACCGAGTTGTGATCAAACTGAGTTCTCAAGTGTCGTGAATTTATGGCCTCAGTCCGATCACAACTCCACACATGCAAAAACCACCACAATAAATTTGGCTAAATTCCAATTCTAATCTTTAAAAAATATATTAGTTTTATTGTCATGACATAACCATTACTGTACTCACCGATGACAGAGCAGCTGGGAAAGCGTGGCCACAAATGTGTGGACCAGATGTCACCTACATTTATCTCAGAAGTAGTTAAGTGACATCTACTTCCATGGGCCGTCCTCTAGCTAGCACAGCACGGAGGGTTCTTTGTGTGATGGGGCATTATGCAAATAACACCATAAAAATACAATCTTGGAAAACACAAGCATAAGATAACACGAATCTTATAAAACATAAATATAATAAAACATTGAAAAACAATGACAATGCATAAGGCATTCATTGTCGAAGTGCAAACTGGAAATGTCAGTAATTTATAACGTTTGAATACACCTGTATTTACGTGTTTGTTATGCACTTATTAGCCCAGTAAATATGCAACGTTGAGCCAACATTTGCATGTGATATATTTGTGCCAGAAAGGCGCGCCACTTATTTAAAAAAATGTTTTACTTGACTTGGTAGGAACCATTGGCCCAACGTTGGGCCAACGTACCATTTGTATTGGCAGTTGATACCTTGGGCACCCTTGCAAGCAAGAAGTGCCATCTCCAGGGCTTTTTTAAATAAGTAAAATGTTTTCACAAATAAATATGATACAACCTAAAACAATAAACCCTAGACATCCAATTGATCAGCTTCCGTTCAACCTAAGCTCTCTAAGCCACAGCATAATGGTTTTGGCACTTTCGAGGTTGTGTAGGTGGGGAGGGAGGGAGGTAGAAACTTCCACAGATTTCTGTCAATGGGTTTTCCTGATGCCGGGGGATTTCCACAGGGGTCCGTCCAATAACGGGGACCGGCGCCAGGGCGAGGGGGGGTAGAGACAGGGTTGAACCCCCAGTCTGCCCTAATGATTCTGATTTCCCCAACCGTTATCCTCCAGTCTTCTCTGCCAGTTCTGATCCTCCATTCTGATTCCTGATATACCCATGCTTGATTCCCCACCCCTCCAATTTGAACCCCCCATCCCTAAACCCCCAGTATTGATCCCCGAGTTTGATCAGTTATTCCGAACCACAAAGTCTTAATTCCCTATTCCCAATTCCCCAGTCGTGATGCTCAGGTCTGAACTTCCAGTCAGATCCCTCATTTGTGATGCCCCGTGGTGGCGAGATGTTAACTACCTCGCCTGGTATGCAGGAGCCCGTGGGTTCGATCCCGACCCCGACGCCTGCTGCGTATTTGGAGTTTGCATGTCTCCGGGTCCTCCGTTCCCCCCCCCCCCCCTGTGTTTAGAGTATTTGGCTGCTATAAATTTACACGTGATAAGCCACTCCATTGACCTATCATTTGTGGCCAGGTCGCTTCTAAAAAAAGAGTTATATAGCTACATGGGCCTTACCTGGTAAAATAAAAAGAGTTTACAGTTTAAAACCACCAGCATGATCACGGGTTCCTGACCTCCTACTAAAGCCATCAGGACCTCCTCCACAGATTTTGGACTCCATCTATCGAGCCTGTACCCAAATCCCCCTTTCCGGACCCCATGCCCGCACCTTATCTGTTTGCGCGCACAGCACCCTTCATCGCCCCGATCTCAGGGGTCATAGGGGGCAGTAGAAATCCGCGGCGGCACCTACGTAACTTACCGCCCGTATATCTAAGATAACGGGAGCCAAGTCAGCCAACCCCGTTGGGGGGGGGGGGGACTTCCGCGGATGTCTGCAGGGAGCGCGGGGATGGAGTAGGGGGGGGTCTCAATGGCTCCATTGTTGTAAATGCCCCCAGCCTCCCGCATTGCCTCTCGCATTGCCTCCCGCATTGCCTCTCGTCCCCTCCGTCTCTCCCGCATCTCTGCTCCATCTCTGCCGACCAGCGGCGACTCCTCCAGATCGACTCTCCGTCGACTGCGAAGTTACAGGTTCGATACGTGACACACACTCTCGCTCATTGGCACACCACACTACTGCTCTTCCCTGGATCCGTTACCAGCATGTGAGTTAGGGAAAGTGCTGTTAGCGAGTACCTATTAAGGCGCACGAAACCACACCGACCGCCTTTGTCTCCCCAGTGCTGAAGTTGACACAATGCTGAGTCAACTGCTTTGGATATCACGTCAATGATGTTAGCCGTGGCTAGGAATCGAACCTCGCTTATTTCGGGGCGTCGTGCGCGACTGACTTCTGATAGACACATAGACACACAGATACACACAGAAGACACACAGACACACATAAGACACACAGACACACAGAAGACACACAGACACACAGACACACATACACACAGATACACACAGACACACACATACACACAGATACACACAGACACACAGATACACACAGACACACACATACACACAGATACACACAGACACACAGATACAGAATAGGCACATTTGCATTGAAAACACACAAACACGCAAAAATACGCATATACTAAAAAAATGCAGACACAAACCCACATTCCTATTCTGTCCATCGCACACACTGACACATCGACACAGCACATGTGACAAAGACACGCACACACAAACTACGGCGGCGTGAGCGCCTGTTAAGCAGACAGAAATGTATAGATATTATTAAAATAGCTCCATTGTTCATTCGGTAAAGTCACGTAGAAAGAAATGTAATTAAATAATAGAATACGACGTTTCGATTGCAGCACAAGGAACCATCATCAGGTACAAATGGATGAGATTATGTTATATTTCCAAGTTTACCATGTTTATTTTCACATCCATTTGTACCTGATGATGGTGGCTTGTGTTGCAATCGAAACGTCGTATTCTATTATTTAGCGTCTTTCGACGTGACTTCACCGACAGACCCACAGAGTAACTCCTGCACTCACGAAAGCTTCGAATCCAGTTGTAGCTCCATTGTGTTCATGTCGTGGCAGGGCTCGCGTTAGACTATGGGGTTATAGATTACAGGGCTAGAATTACGGCTAAAGTTACGGGTTAAAATGTGTTAAGAGTATGGATGTGGCCTGTATGCATGTTGAACTTCTTTTGCACCGTACATAGCCAACCGTGCACATCGGAGGTGCGCAGGAAGGACAATGCACAGTGTTAGGAGTAGGGCTGGTGCGAGAGATAGTGGTAGGGCACGTGCTAGAGCACCTGTGAGTGTGGATATGGCTCGTGTTAAGGCACGTGTTAGAGTATGTGGGAGTATGGATATGGCTCGTGTTCGTGGTAGGGCACATGGTACGAGTGGAGTGGTTGTGGCTAGTGTAGGGGTGGTGCGAGTGATGTGGTTGTGGCTAGTGTAGGGGTGGTGCAAGTGGGGTGGTTGTGGCTAGTGTAGGGGTGGTGCGAGTGGTATGGTTGTGGCTAGTGTAGGGGTGGTGCGAGTGGTATGGTTGTGGCTAGTGTAGGGGTGGTACGAGTGGAGTAGTTGTGGCTAGTGTAGGGGTGGTGCGAGTGGTATGGTTGTGGCTAGTGTAGGGGTGGTGCGAGTGGAGTAGTTGTGGCTAGTGTAGGGGTGGTGCGAGTGATGTGGTTGTGGCTAGTGTAGGGGTGGTGCGAGTGGTATGGTTGTGGCTAGTGTAGGGGTGGTGCGAGTGGTATGGTTGTGGCTAGTGTAGGGGTGGTGCGAGTGGTATGGTTGTGGCTAGTGTAGGGGTGGTGCGAGTGATGTGGTTGTGGCTAGTGTAGGGGTGGTGCGAGTGATGTGGTTGTGGCTAGTGTAGGGGTGGTGCGAGTGGGGTGGTTGTGGCTAGTGTAGGGGTGGTGCGAGTGGTATGGTTGTGGCTAGTGTAGGGGTGGTGCGAGTGGTATGGTTGTGGCTAGTGTAGGGGTGGTACGAGTGGAGTAGTTGTGGCTAGTGTAGGGGTGGTGCGAGTGGTATGGTTGTGGCTAGTGTAGGGGTGGTGCGAGTGGAGTAGTTGTGGCTAGTGTAGGGGTGGTGCGAGTGATGTGGTTGTGGCTAGTGTAGGGGTGGTGCGAGTGGTATGGTTGTGGCTAGTGTAGGGGTGGTGCGAGTGGTATGGTTGTGGCTAGTGTAGGGGTGGTGCGAGTGGTATGGTTGTGGCTAGTGTAGGGGTGGTGCGAGTGATGTGGTTGTGGCTAGTGTAGGGGTGGTGCGAGTGATGTGGTTGTGGCTAGTGTAGGGGTGGTGCGAGTGGTATGGTTGTGGCTAGTGTAGGGGTGGTACGAGTGGTATGGTTGTGGCTAGTGTAGGGGTGGTGCGAGTGGTATGGTTGTGGCTAGTGTAGGGGTGGTACGAGTGGTATGGTTGTGGCTAGTGTAGGGGTGGTGCGAGTGGTATGGTTGTGGCTAGTGTAGGGGTGGTGTGAGTGATGTGGTTGTGGCTAGTGTAGGGGTGGTGCAAGTGGGGTGGTTGTGGCTAGTGTAGGGGTGGTGCGAGTGGGGTGGTTGTGGCTAGTGTAGGGGTGGTACGAGTGATGTGGTTGTGGCTAGTGTAGGGGTGGTACGAGTGTTGTGGTCGTGGCTAGTGTAGGGGTGGTACGAGTGATGTGGTTGTGGCTAGTGTAGGGGTGGTACGAGTGGGGTGGTTGTGGCTAGTGTAGGGGTGGTACGAGTGGAGTAGTTGTGGCTAGTGTAGGGGTGGTACGAGTGGGGTGGTTGTGGCTAGTGTAGGGGTGGTACGAGTGGAGTAGTTGTGGCTCGTGTAGGGGTGGTACGAGTGGGGTGGTTGTGGCGAGTGTAGGGGTGGTGCGAGTGGGGTGGTTGTGGCTAGTGTAGGGGTGGTGCGAGTGGTGTGGTTGTGGCTAGTGTAGGGGTGGTACGAGTGGTATGGTTGTGGCTAGTGTAGGGGTGGTACGAGTGGTATGGTTGTGGCGAGTGTAGGGGTGGTGCGAGTGGTGTGGTTGTGGCTAGTATAGGGGTGGTGCGAGTGGCAGGTCACATGGCTCGCGTTAGTGGTAGGGTTATGGATGGTCCATGGCCAATATGAGTGGCCAGGCTTGTGGCATTGTTTGGGCGTTGATGTGCTCCAGAGTTCACTGCACGCTCAGCGGTTGACCCCGCAGACAACAAAACACACACAGAGACAAAGCAAACAAACCCAAACCAACATCAAACACAAGTGGCGCGGGTTTGTGTTTGCAATGGACAAACACTGATGGGAGGCCCCGTGTCCTTTAATGTTACTGTCTCCCCAGTCCTTGTGTCCGCTGTCCCCTCCCGTCTCCTCCTTCTGTTCCCATGGCCTGATGCCTCAGTGTCTCCCTGTGTCTCCCTGTGTCCCCATGTCCTCTTTCAAAAATGCCACGCGTGGTGTGTCGTTGCTGGTGCTACTAGTAATCCAATGTCTCGCAATGACTCTCAGTGTCTCCTCGTGTCTCCTACGTCTCCCTGTGTCCCCATGTCATTCAAAAAGGCCAGGCGTGGTCGTTGCTGGCCCGCCCATACTGGACATCTGTGAAAAAAAAACTTCATAGCTCATCGGATTTCTCCAGTCTAAATCAAGATTCTGATTCTGTTGTTGCTGCTGCTGAATTGTTCTAGCTGTTTCTCCCTCGTGTTCCCTTATCTCTCTGCAGGCCCGGACTGGCCTTTGGGCAGTCCGGGCAAATGCCCTTTGGCCTGGTGCATTCCGAGGGCCGGTGGGCCGGTCTGTGTGGGGAAATTTCTAAAGTGATCAGAGTAAAAAAAATATTAATTGAAAATGTTTTGTTTATTTAAATATTTTATTATCTCAAATATATATTACTTATTTACGCTCTCAGTTGGCTCTAAGTCCCATCCAGCAGCCCTAAATATTCCTTCTCACCGGCTCATTTTTTTTTTGGACCAGCCCAAATGGCCCAATGCAAATTCCAAGTCAATTTGGGCCAGTGTGTTTACAAATGCCTGGGCTGATTTTTAGTCGCAGTCCGTCACTGTCTCTGTGCCTCTCTGTCTGTCCCCAGGGCACGCCTCCATTCAGGATGCCCGCCCTGGTGGTGTCGCCGCTAGTGCTGCTGGTAAAACACTTTCTCGCCGTGTCTCCCTTGACTCCCCTTGTCTCTGCGTCTCCCCGTCTGTCCCCTTGCCTCCCCGTGCGTCTCCGTTCAGGATGCGTCTCCTGATCGTGTCGGCGCTGGTGCTGCTGGCCGTGGTGCCGATCCTCGCGGCGCCCCCCAAGGAGAAGAAGGCCCGCAAGAAGCCGCGCCCCACGGAGCCACCGCCGCCGCCGCCGCCGGAGCCCGAATACGTTGTCGAGGCCCCACAGGACCCCGTGCCCGACCTCAGCAACTACGACGACCTCCTGAATTACGACACCGAACTGCTGGCGGAGCCCAAGGTTAGGGGTCTGGGCCAGGGGAGGGGGGCACAATATGGAGAGCGGGTACAGTTTGACCCCTGATCCAAACTCTGACCCAATCATTGACCTTAATATTGATCCTCACACAAATATAAATAGTGTTGCTCTCAAGACATGAACAGTAGCCCTCTAACCCCACTCGCAAGTCTGACCCAGAGACGGAACCTAACCCTGATCCCAATAAATGAACGCAGCTTTGACCCAGATGCTAAGGGTAACCCCAACCCTGATCCCAAGTCTGACCCTAACCCTGATCCCAACTCTGACCCTGAGACTGATCCCAACTCTGGCCATGACCCTCAACAGCCTCATCTCTGACCATCATCCTAAAACACTAATACTCAACTTTGACCCTAACCCTCACCATAATGGATGAAGAATGGCATCAGCCCTAAATATGAAATTGACCCTGGCCCTGATTCCTAACTCTAACCCTGCATTCTAACAGGCTAACATAAACACCTGACCATGATCCAAAAACCGACCCTAACTTGAACTATAATAGCAACACTCTGACCTGGCTGTTAACTGTGCTGTGAGGGCCCAAGGTGAAAGCATCAGGGCACTTGACATTCGGCCCTAACCCGGACTCTAACTTCTCCCCCGCTGTAGGAGGAGGCCGGGTTGCTCATCCCGAAGACGGAGGCACAGCCCAAGGCACCCGTGACCGAGAAGCCAAAGACCGCACCGCCCCCCGCCGCGGGTGGAGCAGGGGGAGCAGGGGGACCAGGGCTGTTTGGCCAGGAGGCACCAATAGGTAATTGTGAATCTCTGGTGTGGTGGTGGTGAAGGTGGTAGTGGTTGCGGCGATGGTGGTGATGATGGTGTTTGTGAAAGCGGTGTGGATGACGGTGGTTTGCGGTGATGGTGGTTTTTACAGTGATGGTGGTTGTGACGGTGATGATGGTGGTTGTGGTGATGATGGTTGTTACGGTGATGGTGGTTGTGGTGATGGTGGTTGTTACGGTGATGGTGGTTGCGGAGATGGTGGTTGTTACGGTGATGGTAGTTGCGGAGATGGTGGTGTAAAAGACACAAATCCCTGAACACAAACACAGCGCTCCTTCAACTCTAAACCCTGACGCACTCAACTCCTGTCGCCACCACCCCCATGATCCCTCTCTGTGCACCCCCCTGCCCTCTCTCTCCGTGCAACCCGTGTGCCGCCCCCGTGCCAGGCCTCCCCACGTGCCTGCTCTGTGTGTGCCTGCGTGGCTCCGTCTACTGCGACGACAACGACCTGGACGCCATCCCGTCGCTCCCTCGCGACACCTCCTACTTCTACGCGCGATACAACCGCATTGGCACCGTGCGGCTCGCCGACTTCCAGGGCCTGAGTGAGAGGACCGGGCCCGAACATAAGGGGGGGACGGTGGTGGTGGTGGGGGGCGACAGCGTAGGGCGCCAAAGCACAGGAGCACGCAGATATGGGGCAAAGACAAAGACCCCCTGTATAGCCTTAACAGACTGTTGGGGCAAGTGCTGTTAGCCGCTAGCACCTTTGAAGGCCGGCGCGGCGCACGAGGAGATGGGTGGCCAGCGCCACGTCTGGCCGCCTTTGTCTCTCTAGTGGCGATGTTTACACATCGCACCATTTGATGCTGAGTTGACTTAGGGGAGGCCCAGGACCGGTTCAAATATTCACTACTTTTATTGGTCGTGAGCAGAAACAAAACTCAGGTTACTGGGTTTGTAGCGCAGTGCGCTAACCGCTACACTACCGCGTCCCCCAACACAGAGACAACAACAACCGCCATCGCCTCGAAGTGGCGGTGATGTCAGGTACACGAGTTAAGATATCCTGGTGCCCAGATAAAAAAAAACAAAGATCCCCCATGTATAGCCTAAATAGATTGTTGGGGCACGTGCTGTTAGCGAGCACCTGTGAGGACCAGAACGCACACGAGGGGGTTGGTGGCCAGCCCCATGCCCGGCCGCCTTTGTCTCCCTAGTGGCGATGTTTACATACCCACCAGGTACTCATTTGAGGCTGAGTAGACCTAGGGGAGGCCCAGGACCGGTTCAGGTAACTGTCACTGGTGTTGGCCGTGAGCGGGAATGGAACTCGTGTCGCCAGGTTCGTAGTGCAGCTCGCTGACCGCTACAATACCACTCCCCACAGACACACACACAAACAGACACACAGACAGACACACACACACAAACATACACACAAACAGACACACACACAGACACACACAAACAGACACACACACACAAACAGACACACACACACAAACATACACACAAACAGACACACACACAGACACACACACACACAAACAGACACACACATATAAACAGACACACACACACACACACACACAAACAGACACACACACACAAACAGACACACACAAACAGACACACACACACAAACAGACACACACAAACAGACACACACACATAAACAGAGACACACCGACATGGCACCCTCAGACTCCTGACCCGTGATGACCGCCTCGATTTTCCTCTCCGTCCCCTCCGCCAACGCCGCCCCCCCCCCTCCAGCCCGTCTCAAGCGCATCGACCTGTCCAACAACGAGGTGGCCAGCGTGGAGACCGGCGCGCTGGTGGGGCTGGTGGCGCTGGAGGAGCTGAACCTCGGCAGCAACCGCCTGACGGCAATCCCGGCGCTGCCCTCCTCCCTGCGTCAGCTCGACCTGCAGCACAACCAGCTGGTCAACAGCGGCCTCCCCGTCGACGTCTTCAGGGTTGCGTCCCCCCCCCACCCACCCCCAACTCCTTCACAGACCCCCAGCTCCTGCACGGCTGCGTAACGCTTCCCCTAGCTCAGGGGTCGGCAACCAAAATAACAAAAAGAGCCATTTATTGTTCAAATTCGGTAAAAGAAAAACCTCAATACTATTTTCAAGAGCCGCAATGCATGTGGTCCTTAATAAATAACGTCACGAAGCAGTCCTTGAAGTGCCACACGCAGTTCAGAAGCTTCAGGTTGCTGACCCCCTGCCCTAGGTCGACTCAGCCTTGAATAACTACCCGGTGTGGTGTGTCGAGGTCGGCGTTGGGAAGACGACGGCGGTCGGGCGCGGTGCTGGCCACACCACCTTCCTCGTGCAGCGTGCGCGCTAACAGCACTTGCCTATCAGTCTGCAGTGCCCATACGGGGATCTTTGCCTCTTGTATATGTGCGTGTGGGCCTGTCTGCCTGGCACCAAGGACTGGCGTGAGTTGGCCGACGAGCCACATCACCACGTGGCACGCACCCAAGCACCACCGCGGCTAATGGGGGTGACCCCTGGTGGCCTCTTCCTCTGCTCTACGTTTCTTTCCACGGTACCATCGGGATAATTAATCAACATCAGCGTGTGCCAGCGGCCTCGAATGCACAGCTATCGATCCCAGTTTGAGCCAGACAAGTGCCTACTAGCCTGGTACAAGCGATGTGGTGATGTCACCGCCACTCAGTGTCAATGGTGGTCGCGATTGTTTGCTGTTGTGCACATAATTCTTCCAGATTTTAAAAATGTCACTGCGGCACAGTGGTTAGCGCACTGGGCTACAAGCCCTATGACCGTGCTCAAGGCTACCATCAGTGAGTCATGTCTCAACAGGTCCTGGGCCTTCACTCGGTCGACTTGTTATGTAGCGAGTACCGGGTGTGGCGCTTCATCGGTTATCACTAACAGCATTTGCCCCAACAGCATGCGTAGGCTACATGGGGGATCTTTGCCTTTTTGCAGGATATGAATCTGCTCACCTACCTCTACCTTGGCAACAACCGCCTCGACCACATTCCCGTGCCATTCCCCATGAGTCTCCGCGTGCTGCACTTGCAGGTACATGGGCACCTACACAGATACATGGGCACCTACACAGGTACATGGGTCCATGGGCAGGACATGGGTACGCAGATATATGGACACCTACACAGATACATGGACACCTACACAGGTACATGGGTCCATGGGCAAAACACGAGTACACATGGGCGAAAATACTCCGGTGCCCAAGCAAGGGGCACGTATCCCACCTTGGGCAGTTCCTAGAGGCGATCCAGCACGCCTGACAGCCCGCCACGCTTTGTCGCCCCCCCTCCCCAACACAACCCGCCATTTCTACCGCCCCCCCCCCCCCACAGTACAACAACGTGCAGGAGATCCGAGACGACACGTTCTGCAGCACCAAGCAACCGATTATGCGTCGCGTCCTGGAGGACATCCGCCTGGACGGCAACCCGGTCAACCTGAGCCGCACACCCAACGCCTACGTGTGCCTGCCTCGGCTGCCCACGGGCCGCACGTACTGACACCACCACCACCACAAGCACGACAACAAACATCAACAACGCAAGAACACAACAAACATCAACAGCACAACATCAACAACGCTCACGTGTATCTGCCGTGCCTGCCCACGGCCTCACACACTGACCAACACCACAACAAAAAGAACCACAACACGAGATGTTAACTGCCTCGCCAGGTATGCAGGAGGTCGTGGGCTCGACCCCGACCCTGTCGCCTGCTGTATATTTGGAGTTTGCATGTCTTTCCGCCCGTGGTCGCGTGGATTTTTCTCCGGGTCCTCCGGTTTTCCCCTCCACATTTAAAGTCGACGTGCATTTAGGGTATTTGGCTGCTATAAATGTCCACGTGATAAGCCCCTTTGTTGAGCTATCATTTGTGACCAGGTCGCATCTGAAAAAGAGCCATAGAGCTCAATGGGCTTGAACCTGGTAAAATAAAAATAAAAATTGTGATTTGAAAGTTTGTGTTGATTGTTCACATTTTGTTTGTTATTGCCTTTTTTATATACTGTACACAGTATTTGTGTATTGTATTTAAAAATGCAATTTAGATAAAGTTACAATGCTGTAAATGCTCGAAATTAGTTTCAATAGAAAACGGATGTACCAGTGTGTTGTCCCACAACCCCCGAATTAGGCCGGTGTTGTGACGGCACATTATATCAGGGCCAAGGCTCAAGATCACAAGGACCCACGATCCGCTAGCCATGCTCCTTCAAGCGGTGCTCCATGCCGTGTTGTGGTTCCGACCCTTGCCCAGTGGAGGGACATTTGGGTCACTTTCCAAGTTCCTTCACATGCTCCATGTCGTGTTTTATGGTGCACCCCTGGCAGAGAACACAAACCTCCCCTATCACTCGTCTGTCGCTGCTACTATACTACGTTGGCCACTCTTTCCGTGAGCTTCATCCGTTGATTCCTCCACACGCATTGAGGACTCGGTCAATTAGAGATTGGTTGAACAGAGTCGTGTGGACTCTGTAGGTCACAACAACACACCCACTCACCACACTTCAGATCACAACAACACTCACCCACTCACCACACTGCAGGTCACAACAACACTCACCACACTGCAGGTCACAACAACACTCACCCACTCACCACATTGCAGGTCACAACAACACTCACCCACTCACCACACTGCAGGTCACAACAACACTCACCCACTCACTACACTGCAGGTCACAACAACACACTCACCCACTCACCACACTGCAGCTCAAAACAACACACTCACCCACTCACCACACTGCAGGTCACAACAACACACTCACCCACTCACCACACTGCAGGTCACACCAACACACTCACCCACTCACTACACTGCAGGTCACAACAACACTCACCCACTCACTACACTGCAGGTCACAACAACAACACTCACCCACTCACCACACTGCAGCTCACAACACACTCACCCACTCACCACACTGCAGGTCACAACAACACACTCACCCACTCACCACACTGCAAGTCACAACAACACTCACCCACTCACTACACTGCAGGTTACAACAACACACCCACTCACCACACTGCAGGTCACAACAACACACCCACTCACCACACTGCAGGTCACAACAACACTCACCCACTCACTACACTGCAGGTCTCAACAACACACTCACCCACTCACCACACTGCAGGTCACACCAACACACTCACCCACTCACTACACTGCAGGTCACAACAACACTCACCCACTCACTACACTGCAGGTCACAACAACAACACTCACCCACTCACCACACTGCAGCTCACAACACACTCACCCACTCACCACACTGCAGGTCACAACAACACACTCACCCACTCACCACACTGCAAGTCACAACAACACTCACCCACTCACTACACTGCAGGTCACAACAACACACTCACCCACTCACCACACTGCAGGTCACAACAACACACTCACCCACTCACCACACTGCAGGTCACAACAACACTCACCCACTCACTACACTGCAGGTCGTAACTTCCCTTTCTGCTTCTTTCCTCGCACTAATCCATTGTGGAATTCCATCTGACATCATCATCATTGCCGTCGCCGCTATTCCCAAATTCTTACAATAACCTTGTCCAGTTCAAGAAACGGGTCACACTGTTTTCTTTAACAACTTTGGTAGTGCTGTTTATTACTGGGGGTTTTTTGTTGTTGTTGATGTTTCGGGCCTTTGGGCCTGCGCTCACCAATTGTGTTTATATAAACAACAACAACAACCATCACGTGAATTTCGCCCTGCAAGGCGCCACGGCCTCTGCGCCACGTTCCATCCAGTGCATTGTGTAGCAGTGGACGTGCTCTGCTCCATTCTTCTGTTAGGCAGGCGCCGTGTCGCCTTGCGGTGTGCGCCTGACACAAAAGTGTGGCTTGCGATCCGCTCCGCGTTCCGTCTAAGCTTGCGCTCCACGCCATGTTGTGTTGCGAGCTCTGCACGGTTGCACGGGGGACTTGCAGTGCCGGATTAAGCTCCTGCGGGGCCTGTAGCATATGATATAAAGGGGCCCTACATAAAAAAAAACATTTAAATATTAAAACACAATTTTTTTACTTGCACAATAAAGTAATTGTATTTTTCATTTGCTATACAGCCAGATAATACTGCAAATCGCTAACCTTAAACACCCAGTCGTTCATAGAAGTTGAAGGCGGTATAGTACTATAATAATAGAGCAAGTGCAGAATCACTGAACCGGAATTGATAGCCTGAAAGCCCGTAGCATATGTAGCTACTTTTGCGACTGTGATCATCCGGCACTGGGGAGTTGTGGGGCACAGGAACAGGCACTAGGCAGCAAAGATCAAAACCCGAATAAGGAAAGTCCAGAAGCGGACGATTGACAACCCGCATCTCTCACGCGTGGAGGTGCGCACATGTGGAACAGAGGGGCGGCTGTGCTTCAATACGTGCAGGGCATGAGATGCAAATCCTGGTTCAGATGACATGGGATTTGTTTTGTTTTGGCTTTAATATAAAAAACAGATTTTGATTTGTGTTTACCGTAGTACTGTACTCTTTAATGTGGTTGTAGTAATGCGGGCAGCAGAGGGCAGTGAAGTCAAATCCGGGTTGCGTGTGAGATGCCCTCATGCAGCAGAGGAATTACAAAAGACGAAACAGCTGAGTACATCTCACAGCGCGACCCTTACATCACGTTTCGAACGTCGTCAGGGGAACTTTTTAACGCCGGCCGCGAACCAAGACGGCGCGTTGTATTTGTGCGGTTTAACACACGGACCATAATTTTATTATGTTTTATTTTTATTATTTTATTATTTCCCTTCTACGTGACTTTACCGAAAGAACCAAGAAGACACGGACCATAATTTGCCAGGGGCGGCCTGCCACATATTCGAACCGCGAACCACCCTGCAACGAGCTGCGAACGCGCTACCGATGGGCCGTGTTCAATCTGCAATGCGTGCCGATCGCACACGCCTTTAAAACTGTCACATTAAACGTTAATTTGTCCCCTGTGGAAAAACCAGATCCCGTGTCCTTCATTTTGTCGTCATTAGTCGTCCTCTGGTGTCCCGACCTCTCGGCTGCAGCCGTCTCTCCAATCACAACGCCGCACGGAGTTGCCTTCCTGTGTGATGGGCAATGGGGTTCCTTGTGAGCAGCGGTAACCAAGAACACCAGCGCATGTCACCATTAACATGTTACTCAAATTGGCTCCAACCACCCCATACATTGGGATCTTCCGTGGGGGGCTAAAGACTGCCACCCACCAGAGTCTGCAATGTGAGGATGGGGGGCATACCCCCCCCCCCCGCTGCGCCCCTGCCAGTCCCCGCGTGGCCCAAGTGTCGTGGTGGTTGAATGGGGTCCGAAGGTCCCCCCCCCACCCCCTCCATTAGCACCCCATGTTCACGTGGTCCCAGACTTAACACCGCTCGAAGGGACTCGACCCCCCCCCCCCCCCCCGTAATCCCAATCATCCGTTGCCCTTCTCCTTCCGGGCATTCCAGCCCTGTGTGGGGGTCTGCGGGCTCCTTGAGATCTACGGGGGGTTTCGTGTGGGGTCCACGGACCCTGCTTAGAGTCTGTGCCGTAGCCCGCGGAGGTGCCGGCCACAATTGCCGACTCACACAGAGTCTGCCGCCCCAGTGGCGCGCTCCGCGTAAGTAAACATCCCAAGCCTCCCGTACACCACGTGACTTCTTGTGTGACCGCCCCCAACTCTGGATCCCTCCCCTCTCATCTACACGACTCGAGTCCCCGCCCCCTGTGAAAACAGACGCTGCTCCTCCGTGCAGCAGCGTCGAGGCCCCCATGTAGCCTCTCCCTCCGCGTCCCTCCTGACCCTGTGCTCCTGTTTCTCCATTCCTTTCCCATTCTCTTCTCCTTTCCCACACCTCACCCCCCCCCCCCCCCGACTCTACTCCCCTTCCCGCGGAGCGCCGCCAACGCGTACAAACAGTCGCTGGTTGATGTCAAAGCGACACATTCTTCTAGGACGAGGGCACGGCGCAGAGCTTGGGGTGTAAGGGCCCTGCACCACCTCCCTGGTGAGCGTGGGACACGTTGGCGAAGTTGGCCGAGGACGTAAGTCCAGGAATCCGTCGCGGGTTCCGTGTCAGCTCCCGTGCGCTTTAAAGGTAGCACGGTGAAGGCGGAGCCCTGCAATTACTTGTTCGCTACACTGCTAGCGGCAGTGGTTGGAGCCAAATATTGAGAGTGGTATTTGGCCTACTCTTCCACACGTAAAGTGTTGTCTCACGGCATTGTTGATGACATTACAGGGTCGATCTTGGTGAAGAATTTGAGTTTCGTTTGAAGACTCTGGCAGCTTTACGGGAAAGGCATTGCCGCATCGCCTGTGGGATTCTTGGCATCAGTCGGGGGGGGGTGTCTTCATGGGGGTCCGTGGCCCCTCCCTGTCGGGGGGGGGGGTCATGCGTGGTCCTGGTGAGAGCCTGTAGGGGTCCTCGTGATACATGGTCCCACTTGCTTGGGGGAGGCCTGCCGGGCTGTGGAAGAACCAGTTGGACTCGCGGACAGTGAGGTTCATAAGCCACTTTTATTGAATGAATATGGAACAACGACATCGCGCGGCGGTACAGGGGGTCATCGGCTTTACGTGGATTTATAATAAATCTGTTATAACTTTACTCACACAAGACCGCCCCCCCCCGCCCATATACCCCCATGGTCACACGTTTCTTTGTATGCAGGTGTGTATGTATACAAGTGTGTACGGTGGGGAGCGGTACACATAGTGGTTAGCGCGCTGCGCTACGAACCCAGTGACCCGAGTTACGATTCCCGCTAACTGCCAACGTCGGTGACTCAGCCTTAAATGAGTACCTGGTGCGGTGTGTAAACATCGCCACTGGGGAGACAAAGGCGGCCGGAAGTGGTGCTGGCCACCCACCCCCTCGGTGTGCCGTGTCGGCCTTCATAAGTGCTCGGTAACAGCACTTGCCCCTACAGTCTGTTAAGGCTATATGGGGAATCTTTGTATTTGTATATATTTGTATGCATACAGATGTGTGGATTGGAGTGGCAGGTGTACATATGTGTTCATCAGGAACACGTACAGGTGTACTGATCTATGTGTATGTACAGGTGCTGGAAAGCATGTATGCAGGTTCGTTGACACGTGCGTGCAAGTTTGTACACATGCATGCACAAATATTCAGAGGTGTGTGTGTGTGTGTGTAACACGGCTTCAACACTCAGTATTTCCCATCACCATCGTCATCCCCATCATCGTCATCATCACCAGCATCACAACCATCATCTCCACTGTCACGTGCTCACCAACTCACCCACCCAGACTCTCACCTGCTTCCCCCTCACCTTCCTCTCACCACCCTCACGTGCATCTGTGCCCCCTGCTCTCAACTGTTACGTGATCAGCTTCGGGGTCCCAGGTGTGACCGTCGCCCAGAGACCCCGGGGATCAGATCCCTCGTAGGTCCCAGGGCCCTTGGGGTAGGACGTACGGGTCCCCACGGCAGACCACAGGGTCCCCAAAATGGGGCTCCAACTCCTGGGGTCAGGATCTAATACCCTCTGTTCCACCGGCACCTGCGACCATAGCCGTGCCGGGGCCGTGTCGAGTCGGCTTGGTGCGGCTCAGGAAGTGCCAGGTTGTCTTTTCCACTGCGGAAGCCGAGCCGAGTCGTGCCACTGCCGTCGCATGCGATAAGCACGAGACATCAGCGCCTGCACGTTAGGCTGGATGGGACGCAGGGTACGCCGACAAGGATCAACCCCGCGCCTGGTGCTGCTTGGGGCACGAGCCTACGTTGATATGTCTCGCGAGGCCAGCGTGGCACGGTTTGGTTCCGGTCGGGTTCGGCAAATCACCGGTGGGAAAAAACAAAAACCCGTACCGTGAGAGCCCCACGCTGGCTCAGCTGTGCCAGTGGAAAAGGGGTATTTGGGTCACAGGACGAGGTTCGGGGGGGGGGGGGAGTGATGCTCGGGGTGGGACCCTGGGGTGGGACCTGCTTGCCTCCTGCGGTGGTTCTGGGATGGGTTTCCTGGGCCGGGCCCCCAGGCTGAGCCCCCCCCCCCGCCCTGCCCCCGCCGGCCCTCTGCGCCCCTCACCCCCACCTCTACTTGCGGAAATTCTGGCTGAACTGCACGGCAGAGCGGCTGGCCACGCAGCGGAAGGCAGAGGGCGGCACGTCCCAGTAGTTGACGGGGTTGTCGAACAGGGAGATGCCCGAGTAAAGGACTCGCTTGGGACTCGCGCCCTTGCTGCAGAAGTCGTCCGATTTCACGGCCGCGATCTTGTTGCTGTGCAGGTAGACCACCTGGCGGTGGAACAGGCGAGCACAAGGGAGACGAAATAGTGAAGGCGACAATGCGCCACGCAAATAAGAAAAGAAATTGGATTTTTATATGTTTTTGGGTGCATGCCACAGCCGCCCACACGCATAATTTCACCAACATTGATTTTCAGTGAAAGAAAAACTCTGGACTGGTTTTTACAATTCATTATCTCATCAGGAGAGTCAGACTCGCTGGTGAGCTGCCAGATGTTTATAGGCAAGACCGTGGGTCCGAGTTCGACGCACAATTCTACAACACAACACAATCATATCGAGTGTCGTAGTGGGTAATGTAAGTCCCAACACAGATAAGCACACACTACGTCTCCTTCACATATATGTCCCTCTGCGTGGGATAGGAATGGAGAACCCTCTGCAAAGGATCAGGAGAGACAAGGAGAGGAAGGGAGAGGCATCATGACGGCCTTGACACTGCTGCACGGAGGAGGAGCAGCGTCTGTTTTCCCAGCGGGCGGGGAGAGGGGAGGGGTTCAGAGTGGGGGTGGCCACGCACAAGTCACGTGGCTTACGGGAGCTGTTTTAGAGATGACGAGCAGCAGTCGGAGAGGACGTCACAGAGGAGATGGAGTGATGGAATCAGTTCAGGTCCTGGAAGGAGTGTTGCATCATACGATCACGAAAGATGGTTTTGGCTTTGCGAGGCCTTAATCCAGCAGTGGGTTGATCATGGCTGATGGTGATGATGGCTGATGGTGATGATGGCTGATGGTGATGATGGCTGATGGTGATGATGGCTGATGGTGATGATGGCTGATGGTGATGATGGCTGATGGTGATGATGGGTGAGGGCAGTAGTGGTTCTGGCTCACTGGGAGCCCACTGAATAAATAACTATTGTGCCTCCTCCCAGCTTTTAAAATGTTAAACTCCGAGTGAGATGAGAGAAAAAATGTAGACAACAGAGTTCGCTAGGTGAGAAAAGAGAGATTTAGACAAGATGGTGATGTGAGAGAGATGAGGGGTGAGGAAGTGGGAGGGTTTGTGAGTGAGCGGAGGGGTTAGGATCTGGGAGGGTTGGTGAGCGGAGGGGTGAGGGTGTGGGAGGGTGGGTGAGCGGAGGGGTGAGGGTGTGGGAGGGTGGGTGAGCGGAGGGGTGAGGGTGTTGGAGGGTGGGTGAGTGAGCAGAGGGGTGAGGATCTGGGAGGGTTGGTGAGCAGAGGGGTTAGGATCTGGGTGGGAGAGTGGGAGGGTGGATGGGTGGGACGGTGGGAGGGAGGGTGGATGGGTGGGAGGGTGGGAGGGAGGGTGGATGGGTGGGAGGGAGGGTGGATGGGTGGGAGGGTGGGAGGGTGGGTGAACGGAGGATTGAGAGTGTGGGAGGGTGGGTGAGCGGAGGGGTGAGGGTGAGGGAGGGTGAGGGAGGGTGGGTGAGACTCACCTGCAGGTGCTTGAGGAAGGCCAGGCCAGGGGGCACCTGCGTTAGGACGTTGCTGTCCAGGTGCAGCTCCCTCAGGTGTGGGCAGGTCTCCAGGCTTCCATTCTGAATCACCTTGATCTGGTTATAGCTCAAGCCCAACCTTCACGGTGGACACACGGGGAGAGATATCACTTCACACAGAGATACTCTCTCCACACAGATACTCCACGCGGTATGATGTGTGGTTTAGTGTATGACGTGTGGTCTAGTGCATGATGTGTGATTTATATTCTTTGGGTCTTTCAGTAAAGTCACGTAGATAGGTGTTTTGAACCTATCTACGTGACTTTACCGAACGACCCAAAGAATATGATTTCCTGCAGTCACGAAAGCTTTAAGTGAAGATGTTTGTGTGATTTGGTGCATGATGTGCGGTATGCGGTGGTACCGGTGAATGAGCGGGTATCGGATCAGATCCTCTTGCTCCAGAGCGGTGATCTGGTTGTGCTCCAAGTGCAGCTCCTGGATGGAGTTGGGCAGGTCTGAGGAGGGGGGGGGGGGCGGGGGGAGAGGAGACAGCGGAATGGGGGCCATGGGGTGGGTGGGAGACAATGGGAGGGGGGGGAGACAATGGGGTGGGTGGGAGACAATGGGGGGGGGGGCGTTGGGGGTTTGGTTGGGACAGTACAAGCTTCAGAAAGTCTGCTACTGGTGTGCTAAAGCTTTTATAAAAAATTCAAATTGTCTCCGGTTTAAAATGTTCTGAACTCATACACAACTCCTTATATGGGCACATGGCGGCGCTACCTTAGCAGTGGGCGGGGCTACCCGAGTAGTGGGTGGGGCTACCTTAGTGGGAGGGGCTACCTGCGTAGTGGGCGGGGCTATCTTAGTGGGAGGGGCTACCTGCGTATTGGGTGGGGCTACCTTAGTGGGAGGGGCTACCTGCGTAGTGGGTGGGGCTACCTGCGTAGTGGGTGGGGCTACCTTAGTGGGAGGGGCTACCTGCGTAGTGGGTGAGGCTACCTTAGTGGGAGGGGCTACCTGAGAAGTGGGCGGGGCTACCTGCGTAGTGGGCGGGGTATACATGAGTAGCGGGCGGGGCTACCTGCATAGTGGGCGGGCTTACCTGCGTAGTGGGCGGGGCTACCCGAGTAATGGGCGGGGCTACCTGCGTAGTGGGCGGGGCTATCTGCGTAGTGGGCGGGGTTACCTGCGTAGTGGGCGGGGTTACCTGCGTAGTGGGCGGGGCTACCCGAGTAATGGGCGGGGCTACCTGCGTAGTGGGCGGGGCTACCTGCGTAGTGTGCGGGGTTACCTGCGTAGTGGGCGGGGTTACCTGCGTAGTGGGCGGGGCTACCCGAGTAATGGGCGGGGCCTATAGGCAGTGAGCGGCATCAGACTCAGGAGGAGCGACGGAGTGAGAGAGGCGGCGAGAGAGAGAGGGAGGGAGGGGGGCTGCGGGCTCACTGCTGAGTGTCCCCCCATCCACCCCATGCTGAGTCTGGCGAGACGCGAGGCGCCGCTCACCTTTGGGGATGCGCGCGAGCTTCGAGTCGGACACGCGCACGTACACGAGGCGCTCCAGTCCCTCGAAGGCCCCCACCTCGATCCCTGTCGACTGCAGGGGGTTCCCTCCCATCTCTGCCAAAGGGGAAGGGGTGCGGGGATAAAGGTCGGAAGAGGTCAGGGCCAGAGTAGGTGGGAGGGTGGGAGGGGGTGGGGGGGCCCGAGGGGTGCGAGTGTACGGGAGGGGCCAATGCGAGATACAGGTGAGGCCCAGGTGATGTGTGAGAACCAGCTGAGATCAAGGTGAGGCCCAGGTGATGTGTGAGATCCAGCTGAGATCAAGGTGAGGCCCAGGTGATGTGTGAGATCCAGCTGAGATCAAGGTGAGGCCCAGGTGATGTGTGAGATCCAGCTGAGATACAGGTGAGGCCCAGGTGATGTGTGAGATCCAGCTGAGATCAAGGTGAGGCCCAGGTGATGTGTGAGATCCAGCTGAGATCAAGGTGAGGCCCAGGTGATGTGTGAGATCCAGCTGAGATCAAGGTGAGGCCCAGGTGATGTGTGAGATCCAGCTGAGATCAAGGTGAGGCCCAGGTGATGTGTGAGATCCAGCTGAGATACAGGTGAGGCCCAGGTGATGTGTGAGATCCAGCTGAGATCAAGGTGAGGCCCAGGTGATGTGTGAGATCCAGCTGAGATCAAGGTGAGGCCCAGGTGATGTGTGAGATCCAGCTGAGATCAAGGTTAGGCCCAGGTGATGTGTGAGATCCAGCTGAGATACAGGTGAGGCCCAGGTGATGTGTGAGATCCAGCTGAGATCAAGGTGAGGCCCAGGTGATGTGTGAGATCCAGCTGAGATCAAGGTGAGGCCCAGGTGATGTGTGAGATCCAGCTGAGATCAAGGTGAGGCCCAGGTGATGTGTGAGATCCAGCTGAGATCAAGGTGAGGCCCAGGTGATGTGTGAGATCCAGCTGAGATACAGGTGAGGCCCAGGTCGCTGGTGATATGCAGGTCATTTGCAGGTGAGTAAGGTACAGGTGGAGTTCAGGTGAAGTGCGTTTTACAGGTGAGATCTCAGTGACGTCGAGTAAAGGTGAGGTTCATGTGAGGAGACAGCAGAAGCGGGAGCAGCTGAGAGGTGAGGAGCAGGACAGAGGTGATGTTTCCGGTGAGGAGCAGGCGAGATGATGGTGAGGAGGTGAAGGCGACTCTATACCACACATCGTACACTCGACCAGGATGGCCAAACTCCCATCATGGCATCGAGGAGGGTGCTGTACCTTGGCTCGCCAGGAGACGGCGGTACAGCAAAATGCGGACTAATATCACCTGTCCCTTGTGTATGGGATCCAGTGTTGCCCTCTCGCACACGTGGGGCTTCTCCAGGTGCTCGCACGTGTGTACACATTCATTGGCTGAAAACGTCTTCATATCTAGAGGACCGCAGAGCTTGGGGCGATCACCGACAGCGCCGGCTCCGACCGGCTGGCTACTGTTGCTGCCTTCATCCCCGCCTCTGGTCCCTCGGCGAGTATGCGAGATGTGATTTGCACGAGCTACAACGACGCTGCTATGTAAAAAGAAACCCAAGAGAGGTCGGTGAGGAGCAGGAGAGGAGCAGGCGAGGAGCGGGGGAGGAGGAGGAGCGAGGCCTCACCGAGCGCGTGGAGTCTCTTCATGCCGGAGAACGCGTCCTTGGGGATCTTCTTGATGTTGTTTTCGTGGATGCGGAGCTCCACCAGGGAGGGCGGCATGGAGCCGGGCACCTCGGTCAGCTGGTTGTGCGAGATGTACAGCTTGTCCAGGCTCGAGAGCGGCGCAAACGCCTTGGGGTGCACCTTGCTGATGAGGTTGTTCACCAGGTACAGCGCCTACGGGCAGGAGGAAGGGGAGAGAGGGCGGGACGGCCCCGATTGCTCGATTACTCACCGCGATGCGGAGGTTCACATTCTCAAGCTGATTGTGTTTGGCACCAGTGGAGAACTCAAAGAGACCTCCAGGATGGAGACGTCTCATTTGCAAGAGTGAGCTGAGGCATCAGGCTACTGCCAATAGGAGGGCAACGATTGCTGCTGCTGCTGCTGCTGCTGCGTGTGTGTGTGATACCAAATGAGCAATTTGCGGTGTCATATTTTTTGAGATGGCAAATCTGGGACCATGACGCCGACAACGCAATAGCCTCCTACTCGTTTCGAATGACGTCATGGGGATCTTTAACGTCCACTGCGAGTGAAGCAGCATCACGGACACGGTCAATGCCACTCAACCGCAGAACTAACCAGGGAGGCCGCTAGATTCGAATTGCGACTCTCTGCAACAATGGCGAACGCAAACCTGTCAACCCATATGGTTTACCCCGTATTCTTGTACAGGGAAATAGAGTTCTCAGGTCCATACGGCGTACAGCCGATTCAATACGGAAAATACAATGTTTGTGTCTATTTGTTTGTGTTTCTCCCTTGTGATGGCACTTTGTAGGATGCACGATGAGATGTATAAGGGCACGGGGTGACCAATACGTTTAACACGTAGGCTTTCGCAACCAATATCATCCATAATAGAGGTTTTTTTGGGTTAGATCGCGTAAATATATACATTTCTTTCTTTGCTCGATGAATGAGCGTCTTAATAAGAGCAGATTTCTGTGCGGGGTGATGGTGTGGTTTAGATATGTGGATGACACATTGGTGGTCTGGCCATATGGCAAAGATACACTGAACGCATTTCTAAATCATCTCAACTCGCAAAACCCATCCATCCAGTCCACCAGGGAAGTGGAAGCTGACAGAAATCTGCTCTTATCCAGACGCTCATTCATCGAGCAGAGACGTGTCAGATGGTGACAGTCTGAGAAGTGAAATTCAACATGTTAAAGAAGCGCTGCAAATTAACAGTTACAATGATGCACAAATCAACAGGGCATTGAATACCAAAACCAAATCAAATAACGAGCATTGAAACTGGCCAAGTAGTTAAACGATCAAAATACCGTACATTGCGGGAGTAACTGATAAACTAGCCAGATGTTTGGAAAAACAAAACGTCCGAGTCAGATTTTGTACGGTACATAAAATACAGAATTTAATATCTGGTACAAAATATGTATTACCGAAGCTATCAACAGAAGATGTGTACAGGATTAACTGCACGAGTGGTAAACGTTATGTTGGGCAAACAGGACGAATGATCAGCACGAGACTCAAAGAACATCAGAGAAATATTAAATTATCCCAAATGCAACTATCAGCAGAAGGAGAATACGCGTGCCAACAAGGACACTCAATTAATTTTGATAATGTTGAAGTTTGTGCAAAACTAGCTACTACTGGCCAAGACTAATTAGAGAATCTATCGAAATTGAAAGAAATAAAAAAAACTTTAACCGTTCGGATAGCTACCGTCTTAGTGCTGCATGGAAGCGAATAATCAAATAATACATTATTTAAATGCATGCCTACAAAGGGCAGCGTACTTCAATAGGGATTACCGTTGGTAGGGCTATTTTAATAAACACAATAGACAGGAAGGACAAGTTCAAAGGGCTCGCATAATGCATAATGTACGCTGCTTCAGTAACCCCCCCCCCCCCATGACTGTGCAAGAGCGCAGAAGGGTGGTCAACACATCTACGCCTCGATATAAGGAACGAAATAGTTAAGACTTCTCCACAAATCTGGCTGTCGCCTGATGAAGCTAGTTGTAATTACTAGCGAAACGTCGTACTCAGATTGTAAACGTTGTTAGTGCTGTACTAGTGACAAATTGGCCACGTTCTGTTTACGTAACAACCCTTACTAGTTGGCTGTGTCGGGTGGTGGCGGGTTTTAACGACACATTTATATATGTACGCGATCTAACCCAAAAAAACTCTATTATGGATGAGCAATAAGGTCTGAACTGCTCTGTAATAAGGTAGGGCCGTGTTGAGTGCGGGGAGGGTGGGCAGTGGTGGCAGTCATGTTGGTAGGTGGTGGTGGTGAAGTGGTTGGTGGTGGCAGCTGTGGAGATGGTTGTGGTGTCGCGATGGAGGTGGGGATTGTAATGGCGGTGGTGATGGTGATGATGGGAATGGTCGTGTGGTGAGCACAGCGAGGTTAACAATGCGGTTTCAAGAGCCTCGGATATTGAAGCCTCCTCCCAAAAAATAAAGTGACCGTATATTCGATATTGCTCCATAATGGTTGAAAAGCTACGTTATAATCCTGAAGCACTGCCATCCAGCCTGGAGGCAAATTGTCCTTTAAATCCGTTGTATCGCTTGTGTGCATCGCTAGCAGTAATGTGACAACACTCAACCATTTGCTGCTCAGTGTTGGCCTCGGTGCGGTTGTGGTAGCCGAGTTTGTCGTGATGCACGTGGTGGTTGTGTGGCTGCGATGTTCATCATATCGTGGTCGCTGTTGTGGGTTTTTTTAAAATCGTGGTTGTGGAGCTCAGTATTGGTTCTGTGGTTGTGGCGGTTGCATAGTTGTGTGTGCTATGTGGTTGTGATGATGCGATGACTTTTAGGTGGTTACAATGTGCAGGTTTTTTTTCTGTGTTTATGGTGGCTGTGATGCTTGCGTTGGTTGTGATCGTCATGACGTTCGTAGTAGTTGGTGGTTGTGGTGGATGTTGTGGTCGTGCTGGGCATGTTGTTGTTGGAGACACTTGCATAGAGTTTATTGAGGCCCTTGAAGTCGTCCTGCTTGATCTCCGTGATCTTGTTGTTCTGCAGATCGAGGAGGCGGGCGTCCTTGGGGATGGCCTGGGGCACGGCGACGAGGCCTGGAGGGAGGTGGCGGCGGAACAGACACAGGGCCCACGTAAGGTAGGCCTCATCTCCCTCTGCTCCCTGCGGCTAGAGCCAGGGGGAGGGCAGTGAGGGATTCATAATGACGACGGTACATTCTCATGTCGATCTCCCCTCCTCCTGCCTCGTGAGATATTCTTCTCCTTCCCATGACACGTCCTGGAGACCCTATCCCTGGCCTGAGGTGTGGAGGCTTCAACTTGGCCCGCCCCTGCGGTGGATTCGTTGTCTTCATTGCGAGGCCCGCGGGCCACTGACGGCCCCTGGTGACCTTTCGTGCGGCCCCTGACGTGCGCCCCCCCCCCCGTCAATACACAAAAGGGGAACCCCCCCCCCCATCATCACCATCGTGGTGCTGTCAAACCCCAAATGGTTTCAAATGGGGCGGCCCTCACACTGATGATGCCTTCTCGGCAAAAGTGCCCCCCTCTGAAAGTTAGCGGAGAACAGCGCTCGTGGCCCTCAGGCCGGTCGCCAGCGTAACGAGGCCGTCGCTGCGGATCACCAGCCACGTGCAGCCAAGCGATGGGCTTCAAGGAGATGTGACATCAACATGACCCGACACCCTCACCCGATACCCCTCACCCGACACCCTCACCCGATACCCCTCACCCGATACCCTCACCCGATACCCCTCACCCGACACCCTCACCCGATACCCCTCACCCGATACCCTCACCCGATACCCTCACCCGACACCCCTCACCTGATACTCCTCACCCGATACCCCTCACCCAATACTCCTCACCCGATACCCTCACCCGACACCCCTCACCTGATACTCCTCACCCGATACCCCTCACCCAATACTCCTCACCCGATACCCTCACCCGACACCCCTCACCTGATACTCCTCACCCAATACTCCTCACCCAATACCCCTCACCCGATACTCCTCACCCAATACTCCTCACGCAATACTCCTCACCCAATACCTCTCACCCGATACCCCTCACCCAATACTCCTCACCCGATACCCCTCACCCAATACTCCTCACCCAATACTCCTCACCCAATACTCCTCACCCGATACTCCTCACCCAATACTCCTCACCCGACACCCTCACCCAATACCCCTCACCCAATACCCCTCACCCAATACCCCTCACCCAATACCCCTCACCCAACACCCCTCACCCAACACCCCTCACCCAATACTCCTCACCCGACACCCTCACCCGACACCCTCACTCTCTCACCGCACGCGCTCACCCAACACCCTGACGATCCCTCAACAATCCTAGCCCTCACCGCCCCCTTCCTCCTCACCCCCCCCCCCTCACCCAGGTCGGAGCACTGCACGACGCGCGCGCTGCACTGGCACCCGAAGGGGCAGCTCGCGTCGGGAGGTGGCGGCGGTGGCAGCGGCAACTTGGGCGGGGTGACGGGCCCGCGTCCCGACGGCTTCCCGCCGGTGGGCGGTTTGGGGCGGCCCGCTGAGGGCTGCTTGGGCGTGGGGGCCGGCACCGCAGAGTCGTCTCCCGAGAACTCGACGGCGTCGTCGGCCATCATGAAGTCGGTGAAGAACTGGCGCTGGGCGAACGGTTTGGAGGAGGTGGCCGCGGCCACCGACGAGGAGATGGAGGGGGAGGAGAGGGCGCAGACGAGGAGCAAAGCGCACACGCACAGCGCGGCCATGGTGGGGGGCTGTGGTGGTGTGGGGGGCACGGGGGTGAGGGGGGTGAGGGGGGGAGAGAGAGGTGTCACGCGGGTGGGGGGGGGGGGGCAGACACAGGTGTCGCAGGTTAACACAGGTGTCGCAGGTGTAACACAGGTGTCACAGGTGTTACAGGTGTCACAGGTGTTACAGGTGTAACACAGGTGTAACACAGGTGTAACACAGGTGTTACAGGTTAACACAGGTGTAACACAGGTCTTACAAGTTACACAGGTGTTACAGGTGTTACAGGTGTAACACAGGTGTTACAGATTAACACAGGTGTTATAGGTGTTACAGGTTACACAGGTGTTACAGGTGTAACACAGATGTAACACAGGTGTTACAGGTTAACACAGGTGTTACAGGTTAACACAGGCTATCACAGGTGTTACAGGTTAACACAGGTTAACAAGGTGTTACAGGTGTAACAGGTGTAACACAGGTGTTACAGGTTAACACAGGTGTCACAGGTTAACACAGGTGTCACGGATTAACACAGGTTAACACAGGTGTTACAGGTGTAACACAGGTGTAACACAGGTGTTACAGGTTAACACAGGTGTTACAGGTTAACACAGGTTAACACAGGTGTCACGGGTTAACACAGGTTAACACAGGTGTTACAGGTTAACACAGGTGTTACAGGTTAACACAGGTGTAACACAGGTGTTACAGGTTAACACAGGTGTAACACAGGTGTTACAGGTGTTACGTGTTACGCGCAGGCGTTATACACACAGGTGTCACACACACAGGTGTGACACACACAGTGTCACACACACACAGGTGACACACACACACAGCGTCACACACAAAGATCCCCCGTATAGCCTTAAGAGACTGTAGGGGCAAGTGCTGTTAGCGAGCACCTATGAAGGCCGGAACGGTACACGAGGGGGTGGGTGGCCAGGACCACGCGATGAACCCGGCGACCCGAGTTCGATTCCCGCTTACGGCCAACACCAGTGACGATTATCTGAACCGGTCCTGGGCCTCCCCTAGGTCGACTCAGCCTCAAATGAGTACCTGGTGAGGTGTGTAAACATCACCACTAGGGAGACAAAGGCGGTCGGGCGTGGTGCTGGCCACCCACCCCCTCGTGTGCCGTGCTGGCCTTCATAGGTGCTCGCTAACAGCGGGGGATCTCTTATCTTTGTGTCTCACCTGTGAGTGAGATCTGTGCGTGAGTGTGTGTCACACCTGTGTGTGTCACACCTGTGTGTGTGTCACACCTGTGTGTGTGTGAGTGTCTCACCTGTGTGTGTGACAGTGTGTGTGACACTGTGTGTGCGTGTCTCACCTGTGAGTGTGTGTGTGTCTCACCCGTGAGTGAGATCTGTGCGTGAGTGTGTGTGACACTGTGTGTGTGTCTCACCTGTTGTGGGGAGCGGTAGTGTAGCGGTTAGCGCGCTGCGCTATGAACCTGGCGACCCGGGTTCGATTCCCGCTCACGGCTAACACCAGTGACGATTATCTGAACCGGTCCTGGGCCTCCCCTAGGTCGACTCAGCCTTAAATGAGTACCTGGTGCGGTGTGTAAACATCGCCACTAGGGAGACAAAGGCGGTCGGGCGTGGTGCTGGCCACCCACCCCCTCGTGTACCGTTCCGGCCTTCATAGGTGCTCGCTAACAGCACTTGCCCCTACAGTCTGTTCAGGCTATACGGGGGATCTTTGTCTTTGTGTCTCACCTGTGAGTGTGTGCGTGTTTCACCTGTGAGTGAGATCTGTGCGTGAGTGTGTGTGACACGGTGTGTGTGTCTCACCTGTGAGTGTGTGCGTGTCTCACCTGTGAGTGAGATCTGTGCGTGAGTGTGTATGACACGGTGTGTGTGTCTCACCTGTGAGTGTGTGTGTGTGTCTCACCTGTGAGTGAGATCTGTGCGTGAGTGTGTGTGACACTGTGTGTGTGTCTCACCTGTGAGTGAGATCTGTGCGTGAGTGTGTGTGACACGGTGTGTGTGTGTCTCACCTGTGAGTGTGTGTGTGTGTCTCACCTGTGAGTGAGATCTGTGCGTGAGTGTGTGTGACACTGTGTGTGTGTCTCATCTGTGAGTGTGTGCGTGTCTCACCTGTGAGTGAGATCTGTGCGTGAGTGTGTGTGACACGGCGTGTGTGTCTCACCTGTGAGTGTGTGCGTGTCTCACCTGTGAGTGAGATCTGTGCGTGAGTGTGTGTGACACTGTGTGTGTGTCTCACCTGTGAGTGTGTGCGTGTCTCACCTGTGAGTGAGATCTGTGCGTGAGTGTGTGTGACACTGTGTGTGTGTCTCACCTGTGAGTGTGTGTGTGTGTCTCACCTGTGAGTGAGATCTGTGCGTGAGTGTGTGTGACACTGTGTGTGTGTCTCACCTGTGAGTGTGTGTGTGTGTCTCACCTGTGAGTGAGATCTGTGCGTGAGTGCTGGACGTGGACGGGAGTTGGAGTGGAGACGCCTTCGCTTTGCCGCCCGAGTCTCTGACTGCGGCCGCCGGAGAGAACGGAGCGGATGGTGGAGGGAGGGGGAGGGAGGGGGAGGGGGAGGGAGGGGGGAGGGGGAGAGAGGGGAGGGAGGGAGGGAGGGAGGGGGAGGGATAGATGGGGTTGGGGGGGAATAGGGGTCTGACTCAGACCCCTATTCGCAGCTTTGGGGCTGCATCGGATAGGGGGGGGGGTCCCTGGAGAAAGGGGTAGGCGGAGAGGGTTGGGGTGTAAGGGGGGGGGGATGGTTGGCGGGAAGGGGGAGATTTTGGGGTTGGTGGGGAGGTAGAGAGGGGGGTAGGGGAGGGAAACGGGCGGGAGATGTGGGGTGAGGTGACGGGTGAGCAAAAGGGAGGTGGAGTGTGTCGCCAAGTGGGGGTACGTGTCGGTGTGTGTGTGTCGGTGTGTGTGTAGGAACTCGCTCACAGCACTTGCCCCAAAAGTCTGTTAAGGCTATGCAGGTGATCTTTGTCTTTGTGTAGGTGCGTGGGTGTTCATCGGTGCTAGCTAAAAACACTTCCCCCAAATTATGTTAAGGCTATAAGGGGGACCTTTGTCTTTGTGTCTGTGCGCATAAGAGTGTACGTTTGCTCAGCGGTATGTGTGGGGAGCGGTGGTGCAGGACAACCCTCTGCGCTACGAACCCAACGACCCAATTTCGATTCGGTCTCTGGCCACGAGTGACATTTGGGGGGGGGCGATGCGACCCAGCGGAGAGGCGTTGTTGTCGTTGCAGAGGTTTCGCGGTTCGAATTCCACCCTAATAATTACCGCGGTTTGTTTTAACCGTAAATATATATGTACTTCTCGGAGCCGTCAGCTTTCAAAGTGGAATATTAAAGATCCCCGTGGCGTTCTCCGCAAGTTTAGGCCATTGTGTGATTGTGTGATTGTGTGCGGTCGTCGTGGTCTAAACACATTTTTAAAAATGTGCCCGCAAATTACTCAGTGGGCAAACATACGGCAATCATTGAAGACTCGGCAGGACCCTCCTGCAACAAAGACGGCGAGGCTTTCCTGGGCAAACGCGGGCAATACAAACAATCCTAGCGCGATGGTTGTGGAGTTGCGCGGAGGAGGAATGGCCCCAACCTGGGCAGCGTGCGTGTCGCCGGCTCCAGTTTGGAAGCAGAGGTTCTCACTTCGAATCAGTTTCGCGACATCGTCCTGCTATTTCAATCAGCTGCGTGGACGCTGTGTGGAAGCCGCCTGGCCTGTCGCTCCATGCGGAGGAGCTCCGTGTCTTCCCGGCCACCGTTATGCCACGGAAAAGGTGAAGGCACTCAAATGTAACATCTGTGCCGGCTTGAAACGTTTCGGCTGGCCTGACTATGATCCGTCCTGGGTTTAACCAGACAATATTTCGTGAGAAACTCACAGGCCCTTGAAAGATCTGGTCACGGTCCTATCATTAGGCTCCTCAGGAATGTGAGGATGCTTTGACTGGGTCATGTAGCCCACATGCCTAGCCACCACATGCCCAAGCAGCTTCTGTTTTGCTGGATAGAGGGGGCTTGACGGGCGCGGCATGGGCTAGAGAAGCGATGACTTGACGTGGTCCAGATGATTGCGGCTCTGAGTGGGCAGTTGGAGGCAGTCGCCAGCAATGGGGTGCAGAGGAGCAACGCTCACAACAACGTGAGGGAGCACCGGGGGGCTACATGGCACAGTGGGGAGGATCGTGGTTTCATCTGCCAGTCATCTCGTTCAGTCAATCCCATAGGACCTGTGCATGTCCCATGTTCCTCTGCCAGCAGCAAGCCTTGGCCATTGCACGTGGCCTCAAGGTGCACCGAGCTTGGTGCAAGCGCTGTTGTGACGTCACCGGATGCTGTTGTCGTGCCCAAAACATGGCCTGAATAACAGGCACGAGACAGACGGGAGAGAGAGACAGGGAGAGTGGAGACGGGGGAGAGTGGAGACGGGGGAGACAGGGAGAGAGGGAGACAGGGAGAGTGGGGAGAGTGGAGGCATGGAGAGAGTGGAGACGCGAGAGAAGAAGGGAGTCAGGATTCGGAGCCAGATTTCCGCATCTGGATTAAGTTAAGGGTTTCGCCTCGGTGGGGAGACGGGGGCGGGAGAGTCCGGGGACCCCGGGCTGCCCACGTCTTTGTTCTGTTTGTGTGTCTGTGTCTGTGCCAGTGTGTGTGTCAGTGTGTGTCTGTGTGTGTCAGTGTGTGTCTGTGCGAGTCTGTGTGTGTCAGTGTGTGTCTGTGTGTGTCTGTGCCAGTGTGTGTGTCTGTGTGTCAGTGTGTGTCTGTGTGTGTGTTAGTGTGTCAGTGTGTGTCTGTGTCTGTGCCAGTGCGTGTCTGTGTGTGTGTCAGTGTGTGTCTGTGTGTCAGTGTGTGTCTGTGCGAGTCTGTGTGTATCAGTGTGTGTCTGTGCTTGTCTGTGCGTTTGTCTGTGTGTGTCAGTGTGTGTCTGTGTGTGTGTTAGTGTGTGTCTGTGTGGCTGTGCGTGTCTGTGTGTGTGTGTGTTAGTGTGTGTCTGTGCGTGTCTGTGTGTGTGCGTGTCTGTGTGTGTGTCAGTGTGTGTGTCTGTGCGTGTGTCCGTGTGTGTCTGTGCGTGTGTCAGTGTGTGTCAGTGCGTGTCTCTGCGTGTGTCAGTGTGTGTCTGTGTGTCAGTGCGTGTCTGTGCGTGTGTCATTGTGTGTCTGTCTGTGTCGCGGTTAGCGCACCGCGCTCAAAAGTCAAGCGATCTGAGTTCTGCTCCCGATCACGAAAAATAACAAAAAAGTGAACATTTAAACGGGTCCTGGACCTCTCCTAGGTTGACTCAGCCTCAAATGAGTACCTGGTAAGGTTTGTAAATATCGCCACGAGGGAGACAAAAGCGGACCGGGCGTGGTGCTAGCCATCCACCCTCTCGTGGGCCGTGGAGGCGTTCATAGGTGCTACTCGCTCACAGCACTTGCCCCTAAAGTCTGTGCAGGCTATCGGGGTGATCTTTGTCTTTGTGTGTGCATGTCGAGGTCTCGTCGTGTGTACAATGCAACGTTGAGACGCACAAGGGCCTCAACACGAGGCTTTCTCTGGTCCACGTCTGTGTCCCTGTCTTTGTCTGTGTGTGTCTGTCTGTATGTGTCACAGTCTGTGTGTGTGTCCATGTGTATCTGTGTGTGTGTCTGTGTGTGAGTGTGTCTGTGTGTGTGTGTCTGTGTGTCTGTGTGTGTGTCTGTGTGTGTGTCTGTGTGAGTCTGTGTGTGTATCTGTGTGTGTGTCTGTCTGTGAGTGTGTCTGTGTGTGTGTGTCTGTGTGTGTCTGTGTGGGGTGCGGTAGTGTAGCGGTTATCGCGCTGCGCTACGAACCCGGCGACACGGGTTCGATTCCCGCTCACGGCCAACACCAGTGACGATTATATGAACCGGTCCTGGGCCTCCCCTAGGTCGACTCAGCCTCAAATGAGTACCTGGTACGGTGTGTAAACATCGCCACTAGGGAAACAAAGGCGGTCGGGCGTGGTGTTGGCCACCCACTCTCTCGTGTACCGTTCCGGCCTTCATAGGTGCTCGCTAACAGCACTTGCCCCTATAGTCTGTTAAGGCTATAAGGGGGATCTTTATCTTTGTGTGTGTGTGCGTGGTTTCTGAAACTCAGGGAGATTTTTTTCCTTCCTTTGGGGTTGGAGTGTAATGTTTATTTATTTATTTAGTCATTGTTGTTGTTGGTGGTGGGGGTGGTGGGGGTGGTGGTGGGTGGGGGAGTTGACTGTTTGTTTTGGCTTCAATCTCGCCCGTCCTCCTCCTCCCTCTCGGGCCGGGGATGTGAGGAAGAGCCCCTCCTCAGCTGCCGGGCCACGGTTCCATCCCTGGATGGGGGGGCCGTGGTCGTGCCCCCCCCCCTCGCCGTTCAGCGTCTGCGACGGGAGACCTGTGAAGGAATCAACCCGCTAGTTCGGTTGTCAGGAGTTCGGTCCTCCACCCATCCGCTCCCCCCCCCCCCCCCCAATTGAATCCTCCTAATCACCACCAACATCGTCGTCCTCGTAATGACGACGACAAAGATTGTGAAGCGAAACCAAGAATCATTCGGAGAGGTGGAGAGAGAGCGGGGAGGGTGGTCATAGAATAACAATGGGGATAATAAACAACGCGAATAATAACAATGGGGACAGTAACAATGGGGATATAACAATTGGAATAATAACAATGGGGATATTAACAATGGGGATAATAACAATGGGAATAATAACAATGGGGATAATAACAATGGGAATAATAACAATGGGGGATAATAACAATGTAAACCCAACATAAAATTATATAATTATATAAGTGTATAATTTAATGTTGAGTTTGTCTATGGCAGTGTACAGTACGGGGTATATCCGTGTGATGTAAGAAAAAAGTTTAGCTGGAGGCATATTATATATTTTGCGACATAGATTTGTAATGTATGACTTACTGTTAGTAGATCAGCTTATTGGAGAGTATATTGATGATATTGATGTAGTTTATATATATTTTTTTTTACGTGGTGGTTTGGCTGCTGCAGCTCCTTACTATTAAAATTCCCCTCCCTTTATGACTGCTAATCCTACTTCCTCCCTTTATGACTGCTAATCCTACATAATACACGAGCATAATATGACTTTGAGACCCCCCCCACCACCTACACATTCCACAAGTAGTGACTAATCCCATATCTGCATTTTCCATAAACATGCTAAATTCCTCTGTTGGTATGTAAATGTCTTTGTCAAGGCGCTCTCCTCCTCTAACCCAGCTTAAATATACGCTGCCAAGCTTGGTGGTGTTATTTCGAACAATGGGGATAATAGTAATGGTAACAATGACAATGGTAACAATGACAATGGGGGTAATAACAATGGGTATAATAACAATGGGGATAATAACAATGGGGGTATTAACAATGGGAACCACCACAACGCGAATAACAGTGGGACCTTGTTCCCAGTATCAAAGTATGCACAAACACATTGACAATAGGGGTTGCCAGAAAGGGTAAACGACCTATTCAACGACACCGGTGTGAACAACAACAGCAGCAGCAGCAGCCACAGCGGGCGAGTGGGGGCCGCAAGCA